TCATTCATTTTATGAGACCAGCATCATCCAAATATCAAAGCCAGGCAAAGACACCACAAGGAAAAAAATTACAGACTGATCTCCTTCATGAATATTGATACAAAAATCTGCAACAAAATATTAACAACAGAATTAAGCAAATTATTAAAAGGATTATGTGCCATTACCAAGTGAGATTTGTTTCTGGAATGCAAGAATAGTTATGCATATGATAGTTAATCAGTGTAATACACCAGGTCAATAGGATGAAGGAAAAAAAAAAGCACATGATCATTTCAGTTGATGAGGAAAAGGAATTTGATAAAATTCAACGCATTTTCATGATAAAAAATATTCTACCTAGTAGGAATAAAAGGAAACTTCATCACAATAAAGTCCCTATATACATTAACAATTAACAATATGAAAACAAAATTAAGAAAACAGTTTTCAGAACAGCATCAAAAAATTATTTATGAGAAATTTTAACTAAGAAGGCAAGACTTGCACACTGAAGACTACAAATATTGATGAAAAAACTAAGGAAGACAAAAGACATTCCATGTTCATGGGTTGGAAGAGCTAATACGGTTAGGATGAACATACTAACCAAAGTGATCTGCAGATACAATATAATCCTTTTCAAAATCTCAATGACAATTTTGCAGAAATAGAGTCATACGGAATCTCAAGGGACCCTGAAAAGCCAAAACAATCTTGACTAAGAATGAAACTGATTTCAAGACTTAAGGCATCGCAGTAGTAATCAAAACAATATGGCATTAGCATAATAGACATTTAGACCAGTGGAATAAACATCCTAGAAATAGTCAAATGGTCAATTGATTTTCCACAAAGGTGTGGATCATTTAATAGGGGAAATAACAATCTATTGTGGGTTTCTATGAGCTGGCCACTCATGGGCAACTGTGACCTATCTGCTATCTGCAAATCACAGCAGAGCATTCCTTGACTACCTACAGAGTATAGCCCGTATCATGAGGCAGGCCCGGGGATGCCTAGGCCACTGTTGACCTGATTACGTAACTATCTCCATGGTGCTCTCAGGATAACTCTGCCTGTGATAACATCAAACTTTGCTGACACAAATGCCTTTTGATGTATGGTCACAATGTCCCCTTCCTGTCCCTTATACAACTTTGTCCCCCATTCCTATCTCACCCTCCGGACCATATTCCTCATACCATTGTCACATGATCAGCTTTCACTAGCCTGTATGATTTCACTAAATGGCAGAAGAACTTCTGCTCAAGCAGCAGAGTCTTGTGTTGCAAACCTGCTCCACGACTGTTGTGTCCCTCATCATGTTCCTGCTGCAGAGCAGCAACAAAGTTTCTGTCCCAACAATCTATCTCTTCAACAAACAGTTTTGAGAAAACTGGATAAGATATATAGCTGAACTCTTTCTTTATATACAAAAATTACTCAAAGTGGATTAAAGACCTAAAATGTAAGACCTACTGCCGGAGTCCAGCTCCAGTGAACAGGGTTGAGAGAGGAATCTGATTGAGCCGTAGAAATTACCAAGAAATGACAGACACAAAACAAGAGTTTAAGCAGGAGCCAGGGGACTCAAGGCCTCTTATTCATGCTCAAACGTCCAGAGTGCCCAGTGCAACTCGTTTTTGATACAAGCAGCCCCTCTCCCACCTCAGGTTAATTACTAGACAATGAAGTATTCTCTTAGCATTTGGCCTTGTCCGGGCACACATTCACTGCTGAGGTTCTGCGCCATCAGGTCATTCTGTTTCTTTTTCTAATCTAGTCTGTCCCCTAGACATAGCTTTGCAGACACAAGAAAGAACATCCCGGCCTGTACATGGGCCAGTCCTCCCACCCGGACTCATCAGTTTTTTAGCTATGACCTTGATGTCTTCCTTGTCTCAGCACTGCAGGCCTTAGGGGTCTCCAACAACCTACAACAATAAAAGTCTCAGAAGAAAACATGACACTGTTTTAGCAATAATTTCTTAAATATAACACCAAAATACAGGCAAAGAAAAAAAATAAATTGGATGGCATCAAAATGAAAACTCGTGCATCAAAGGCAATTGAAAAGGTGAAGATAGCAAAGAATGCATCATTCAAAAATGAACAATGATCTAAGAAAATAAAAATAAATAATAGCTTTAAAATAAATAAATGACATGTTTTAACACATGGATGTTTAGATAAAAAGTAAAGATCATTTGTACAGTTGCATGTGACCTGGTTTGTTGTGCCTTCTCATTAGTGGAAATAGGAAGGAGGAGTGTTCTTTAAACAGAGAAGGAGCTAAATGTTTATGACAATAGTTTTATACTCTTACCTATAACTTATTTAAATATAATTGTTATATAAACCATATTATTTGTCAAAAATCACGAGGAGGAACAATTTAATCCAGTTTAAAGGTGGGTGCTTGCATTTGACATCTTTAGTGATATGTGGCATCCTCATAGCATCTAAGCTGGTTGTAAAGTGATTCACTGAGTCATTAGTGAGAAATGGAGATGTGATTAAGTGCTGGTTTCCAGATAAGTGATTATGTGTTTGTATATTAAATGTATATATTCACACATTTTTATATTGGCATTCTGTAGATATGTTTGAATAGAGAAACTTTTTTTTTACTCCAACTACTGAAATCAAAAGGTACCAAATAGTATGTAGAACACCACTAAGATTTAAGGTTGTGTCTAAAAGGTACAGTGATTCTGTCATTTCCAGTTGTCACTTGTCTTGGCCTTTATGTTTATTTTTTAAAAGATTTATTTTATTTATGCATACAAGAACTGGGGTGTAATCCAGAGGTGCGGGGTGGTGAGAGATTCACCAGAGAGACTGGGGAGCAGAACAGGCAGATCTACTGAAATATACTGCTGAGAGGAGCAGTGGGCGAGACAGGAGATGTCTGCTTCACCATGTGGGTCACCTCCCTAGTCTGCCAGAGAATCACTCCTGCTGCAGTGGCTGACAATAGCTTGATAGTGCTCTTTTTAACCCTTGTGCCACCAGGGAGGCCCCTCGGCCTTCATTTTTAAATGGAGCATTTCTTTGCATTTGAATAGTTGGCATCAGCTACATCTGAGTATTTAGATGTGACTCAATTATTATGGTTGTCAGGATAATTAAACAAAAATACTTGTTCAGTGATCAGCACTGAATGATTGTTAAGGCAGTTGTGAGGTCAACAGGGATTTCACCTCTTTCTACAAGCACACCAAATAGAAACATCTCTAGGTTCCCATATGTAAAGGTGGATTGAAAGTCTTTCACATGAATGGCTTTGAAAACTGCAATGCCATTCAACAGATGTATGTGCATTTCTTCAGCTAATGTAACATAGTTCTGTTGTAACCTTGGTTACTGCATATATGCTATAATAATGAAATTGATTGAATCAATAGTTAGGAAAGGGGAAGAAGGGCTTAAAAAGGGGTCCAGAAGACCTTACTGGAAAGACAGACTAGACCTCAGAGGGCCTCCCTGGTGGCGCAGGCAGTTGAGCGCCGCACTGTGAAGCTGTCCACAGCCTCAGCAGCGTGGGTTCGATCCCCACCAGCGGGTGAGAATCCCACATGGCGCAGCAGACCTCTTCTGTCTCGCCCGCTGCTCCCCTCAGCAGTATATTTCGTCAGTCTGCCTGTTCTGTTCCCCACTCTGTCTCTGGTGAATCCGCTCACCCTCCCACGCATCTGGCCTGTACCCGGTTCTTGTGTAAATAAATAAATCTTAAAAAAAAAAAGAATAGAACTCAGAAATAAATTATGTACACATTTGAAAACATGATAGTATGTATATGACAGCTTTTTGTCTGACATCTGTGCTACTTCTTGGATCAGTTCTCCCATACTAAGAGAAATCATAATTCATCATCCCCTTTCCTTTCTTGAACTTTCATATTCCAGGAGCACTGGACGATGGTGGAAGGTTATTGATGATTTGGTGGTGGGCAAGGTGTGGTAATACACATCTGAAGAGGTGTGAACCTATACCCTAAATCATTTATAGTATTGTAAACCAATGTTAGTTCAATAAAAAAAAATTAAATATAAAATAAAATAAAGTTTAAAAAGAATGTGCTGAAAATCTGGCTATAAGCAGAAAATTACATAGACGTATACTTGTACCCTAAAGGCAATTTTTGCCTTCCTCCATGAAAACCTTACCATATTTTAACCACTTAATAAATATTTCAAAACAAATTTGAAACATTAGATTTTCAATTAACATTTGTTGGATGATTGAATTGATACGTGAGCAGTTGCTCACTCTGCTCCCCCCTCCACTCATAAGGATGATTCCTGAGACACTTTGGTCAGAGCACTATTTTTACTTATCAGAATTTACTTAAAAAATGGTTTTGAAGTAGCTTTCATTGGTACCCCACATGATGAAAATAATTAGGAAGTTGAGAATGTGTTTATTTAAAATCAGAGAAAGGTCAACATGTGCCAATAAGGTTCACGGTCGTTAGGGATAGGTTAGAAAGTTGGTTCTAAGTTTCGTAACCGCCATCACATTGTGCATATGATTCAAAATACACAATTACCCAGCTAGTTCAGTTGCTGAAAACATTTTTTCCTTGAGTTTTTGATAAAGGTTTTTTTTTTAAATGTAACAAATACCTTTGAAAATATTGTGTGGTAAAGGAAAAACAAGTTTCATTGGTCTAATTTGTAGTACCACCCCGATAAAGTCACGTCATGTAACCACCAAAGATCGGTGGGGGGGTTCTAAAAGGGGCAAGCCCACTTTTGTCTAGGTCTGAAGCTCTGGTAATTTAGTTGCACTTAATGAAAAAATAAAATAAATCATGTATCCAGCAAAAATGGTTGTACAATTATTAGTCTTCCAAAAATATTTATTCCTTCTGATGAAGTTCAGGTTCTAGATGGAAGTGACTTCATGGCTATAATCTCTAACAGGCTCCCGTAAGCTCACAAATATCACCCCTATGTCTTTAAACAAGATACCTTTGACCTCATTTTGCGAAAATTCTGGAAACGTGCTGGTCACATGACTCAACTGGAAGCCATTTTGTGAACCCCTGTAATGAGGCAGGCCGTGGTGTGCCCAGAAGAACGCCCCCCTACCCCTCAGAAGGTGACTCCACACAAATGATTTCAACAGAAGAAACAACGAGCCTCCAGGGTCCCCCACTTCCTGAGGCTCATAGGGCTGAGGTAGCATGTGACCAGGGTGCCGAAAATGTTGCCAATGGCCAAACCACCCAAGCCCCTGCCGACGACGGCCCCCAAGCCGCTGCTGACGATAGCGCCCAAACTGCTGCCGACCATGGCGCCCAAGCCGCTGCCGACCACGGCGCCCAAGCCGCTGCAGACGAAGGCACCCAAGCTGGTGCCGATGATGGCGCCCAAACACTTGCCGACGATGGCGCCCAAACTGCTGCCGACGATGGCGCCCAAACCTCTGAGGACCATGGCGCCCATGCCGCTGCTGACGATGGCGCCCAAGCCGCTGCAGACCATGGCGCCCAAGCTGCTGCCGACCATGGTGCCCAAGCCGCTGCTGACCATGGCACCCAAACTGCTGCCGACCATGGCACCCAAACTCCTCAGGAAAAGTTAAAGGAAGGGAAAGGTAAATGGTTTTAAGCTGTTTTTTGTTTGTTTTCTGTGGGGAAGAATCTGGTTTGGGAGCAGCTCTGGCTGGATGTTTATGGGAAGGGTGAACCCCCGTGGGAGACCGAAGCGGGGCCCCGTGGGCCCTGTTCAGTAGCTGGAGAGGGGTGACTAATGTTAGAGGAGGTGGCCCGCGGATTCAAATTATGGGGTGGTTATTTTATTCCGGACTTCTTCTTCTTTATCTGGCGGCGGCGCCCTGGTGACCAGGTGAGATGGCCGGGCCCGGGACACATCAGGCCCACCGAACGGATTAGCGGGGCAACCAGTGGGGCCCACCTTTCACAAACGCCGCGCCCATCGCGCCTGTAATGTACGCGTGGTGCGCGGTGACCACGGGAGTAACACTCCTGGGGCAGGGCACACAGGGTGGCCCACCCACAGTGGCCGGGGGCAAAGGAGGGCGCAGAAGCCTGGCTCTGCCTGTGTCAGCCCGGCCCCGTCTCCTCCTGCTTTGCGCCTTCCCGGCATCCCCCGCCTCCCCGCCCTCGCGCAGCGAGCCAGCCTCACCTCGAGGCCTCCGCTGGCGGCTGGTCTAGGCCGACAAGCCACTCGAGGCTCCTGTCGGGCCCAGTTCGGGCCACGCGGACGCCTGGAAGACGCCGGGACACAGAGGCTGCCGGGTGTGCGACTGCGCCCAGTGGGGGAGTCCCGCCATTGGGTGGTTCCCAGGAACCCTTCAGCGCCAGCCGAGCTGCGCGCGGCGCTGCTCTTCCCCAACCTGCCTGGATGGCGAGGCCTAAAGGCTGAGTTCCCTGGGCTTCTAGTTTTCCGGGATTACGAGATCAAACAAAACCTAGGAACTGGAGACACCTCTTTGGAAGCGTAGTGCCTCTGGGATAAGGATGGAGGTGTCATTGGCTCCAAACCGCAGCTAGCGCCTCTGAACTTGAGAAAATACCAGTTTTGGCTGGTGCTGACTTGTCTGCCAGGCGCTTGCAGTCCGGCCCTCTCTGGCTAGCTGTAATCAGAGTTCCAATTCGAATTCTGTTGAAGCGAGATGGAGCGGAGAATAGGCGTGTGTGCAGGAAAACAATGTAGATGTCTTTTCTTAAAATTAATTAGTACAACCGGGCCTCCATGGTGGCGCTGGTGTTCTCAGCTCTGTCAAGCTATCGGCAGCCACTGAGGCGCTAGTGGGATCCCGGCCAGGGAGCTACCCCCATGGTGCAGCAGACCTCTCCTATCTTGCCCGCTGCTCCCCTCAGCAGTGTATTTCAGTCAATCCGCCTGTTCTGCTCCCCTTTCTGTCTCTGGTGAATCCTCTCATCACCACCCCCACACCTCTGGCCTACACCCCAGCTCTTGTATGCATAAATAAATAAAAACTTTAAAAATAAATAAATAAATCTGTAAAACCAGTTCATGGGTTAAATGCAGGTAGCAGATTTTTAAAAAGCATTGAAACTCATCTTAGACTTGTCCACCTCTGAAAGTGTTTTTACATTCTTTATTTCATGAGAGAAATTGCCAAAAAATGCATTGAAATGAACAAAATGTCCTAGTCTTAGTTCTGCTGAGAAATCTAAGTTACTACTGATGTGAGAAAATCTTGCTTAGCAGCTAGTTCTTCAAATAATCTTTATTTCTGCCCCCTACCTTAAGTGTTTGTTACCTTTTGTTCTAGTAGGCAATGTGCCTAGTCCCAAGATTAAATTTTTTTTACTTTAATGTTTCTCTTTGTTTGCCTTAAGTGTGTGTGTGTGTGTGTGTATGTGTGTGTGTGTAAATGTATGAAGCAGGAAAAGAAGACTACCACAAATAACCTGTCTTTTTTTCCCCCTCTGTCTTCCTGGGTATCTGCTTTTCCACTGCTGTCTTCTCTTGTGCTTATTGTACCTTTCTGGTGGTTTCTGAAGTCTAACCAAAGGACTGAAATCACAATGGGTGGATTATTTCACCATTATAGGCTCAGACTCACTTGTTTGTATTTTAAAAAAAGGTTCCAGTGCTTTTAAGTGAGATTCAAACTCAAAACTCAGAGCCCAGTTTATGTTTTACAGAGCATTAGGAGTTGTACATTAAATGGAGCTTTTAATCTATTTCAAGGTATAAGATTTTATAACGTGGTGTTTAGCAGTGTTCTTAGAACATAAGAAAACTTTGTCAGGTTTTATGTAGGTACACTACTTTTTTTTTACCTTTGAGAAAAAAATTTCTTCAGCAGTGCAGTGTAGGACCTAAAACCCAAAATACAAGCCACTACAGATACATCCCATATCGACAGAAAATAAGATTAAAAATGAAATTGCAGGGGATTATTCACTTTACAGAATAATCTTGTTTTATTTTGTATTAAATAAAGAGATCTATCTTACAATTCCTTAAATAACTTTTAGGGGCAATCCAAATAAATGGTGATTGAGGTTTAAATGAAATATAGACCTAACATACTCAGTTTAGTGCCTGCCACATAGACTATATCCAGTGTAAAGTCAGTAATTAGTAAAACTGAATTATAAATTCTTTCATATCACCCCTTCAGAAATACATCTACCCCAAAAATGAGGTGTGTGCATCTAGATAGTCTAGCCATAAGAACTGGAATCCTGACTTTTACCCAAGGTATCTCAGAGCTGTTGATGTTCATTCTAAAGTCATATGAAACTGCATTACTTAATTCCTACTAATCCATTAAGGTGAATGCAAGCTGGAAAGCTAAGCTTTTGCTCTTTCCAGTCATATAACATTTTCAATTTTTTTTTTATTTTTTAAAGATTTTAAATTTTTATTTATGCATAGAAGAACTGGGGCTTAGGCCAGAGGTGGGGAGGGTGAGAGGATTCACCAGAGACAGAGTGGGGAGCAGAACAGGCAGATGTACAAAATACACTGCTGAGGGGAGCAGCAAGTGAACCAGGAGAGGTCTGCTGCGCCATGTGGGTAACTCCCTGCCCAGGGATCAATAGAACTGAGACTTTAACCCCCTGCGACACCAGGGAGGCCCCAAAGAACATTTCTGCCAACGGTTTTTGCATTGATTTTGTCCTTTGGTTGGCACTCTTCCCAGTAGTAGTCTGTAGCTGGCCACCAGTTGCCACCACTGTATCCATTCATTATAGCCCTTTACCTGAGAGTTTTAAGATTAATATTAAAACGACAAAGAAACAGATAAAAGGAAACCCCCAAAAAATCCTAGAATTCTGACTGCAGAATTGAGGCCACCAGAGGGTCAGGGTGGAGTGGAGAGCAGACGGGGGAGGGGGGATGAGGAGGGAGGGGGTCCAGTGCACTGTGGTAGAGAACTCTGTGAGTGCCTTGGTGGGGGTGTGGTGTGATAACATACATATGAAGAGGTGTGAACCTGTACCCTTTCATCATATACAGTGTTGTAAAACCAACGTTGCCTCAATAAAAGTAATAGAATTAAAACCAAGCAAAACTATGGAGACAGTAAAAAGATCAGTTTGCTGGGAGTTTGGAAGTATTTGACTAGGTAAAACACAGAAAGTTGTTAGAGAAGTGAAACGTTCCTGTCTGGTACTGTGGTGATGGTCACATGACCTTATGCAATAGTCAAAACCCATAAAAATGTACAACACAAAGAGTGAACCTTACTATCAACTGTGATAGTAATTTGTCAACATTGATTATTTAATGTTGACGAATGGACCACATTAATCTAAGTTGTTAATAAAAGGCAAAGGTGGGGGAGAGTAACATGGGAACTCTGTACTATCTGCTCTTTTTTTTTTTTTCTATAAATCTAAAATGGTTCTAAAAAGTAAATTATATTCATTTTTAAGACTATTATGTTTATAACAGCGCTTCATTTGTTATGTAATGTGAATTGACTTTGGAAAATCTGCACATATTGGAGAGGAGAGAAGTTGACTTTTAGGAATAATTGAGTTACGTCAAAGTATTTCAGATCCGTTTATACCTCATTCCAGTAGGGATTATGGGCAAGATTTTGTGAATTTTAACCAGTATTATCAGAAGTGGCCAGCAGAGGGAGCAAGAGGAATCTTTGCTAACTTGTTTTTGTTTTCATGATCTTAAGAACAAGAGATGAATAAAACTCCGGATCAACCTCCTCACGAACTTGAGAACCAGTTCATATTGCGTCTGCCTTTGGTAAGAAACCCTTATATCTCAGACCAAAGATCTTCAGTGCGTAAGTACTAGTTCTGCTTGGATTCTGTAACACTTATTCTATTTAAGGTAGGCTGTGAAAACTGAGAACGCTTGTTTGCCAGGGATCATGTTCTGTTAAGCTGTCCCATCCCAGTGTGTACTCTTTCAGCAGTCTTTCTTTTGCCCTATACATACTGCCTGTCGTGTGGGTTACTTTCCTGACAAACAGCTGTGTCAGTGGTGGATTCAATCACTATCACAGACACGAACAGCCGGCTCACTGGACAAAGATTCTTCTAAAATCCTTTCTATCACCTCAAAAGGGGCAGTGCTGTTTCATGTAAATTCATTACCTTGCGATGGCTATTGAAGCTAATCTCAGCTTATTCTTAGAGTCTCTTCCCTCATTGAACCTGTATTCAAGTGTTATTTAGTCTAAGAGAGCCATATTAAACAGGGAGTTCTGAAAGGTATTTCCCCAATTAGGGTTAATTAATATACCCAGTAAACTACGACTAAGCCTTTCCTTAGAAACTTACAAGGAAAGGGCAGCAGTGAGCGGGAGGAATATAGAGCATTCACTGGAACTACTAAAAGATAGCATGAACTGGAGTAAGTCTCAGCCTAACTTATACATGTAGTGTGGTTACAGGGCATTGGTCCTAACATTTGGGAAGTTTAAGGATTTATTTAGTGGGGGCTGTCTCTGATATAGCTGTTCGATCAGTTGCCAAGTAGACAATTCATCATTCTGATTTTTCAATTTGCTTCTGTTTTAGGAACATGCTTCTACTGTCAGAAAGATAGTACATTCCAGATATCTCTCTATGAAGGATAACTTGAGAATTGATTTATCTCGTAAGTACTTAATACCCATTTACCATACCTCAAGCAAGCAGTGATTTATTAAGGATTGCTGTGTGCCAGGCAGTATACTAGATACTAAGAATGCGACAAAAAATAGAATGTGATCTCTGCCTAGATGGACTGTAAGGAGAGGCTTAAATCACAGCCACCTCTTCATTTAAAGCAGAAAGGAAGTAGAAATTGGGCAACTTGAGGTAAATATAGTGTATATAAGGAAAAATTGGGGTATCACCTGTGGGATTTGCATAGTGTGGATTATCTTCTGCATGCACTTTTTGTGATTGCTGACTGTCCAGGAAATGACAAACGAATGTCCTGTTCTCTGTTTACAAGGGTGCCCTATCTTTCTCTCTTCTAAATAATATTTATTAGTTTTTTAAAATTGAGAAAAGTATATAAAGAAGAAAATTTTTTTAAGGATTTCTTTATTTATGCATACAAGAACTGGGGTACAGGCGAGAGGTGTGGGGGGGGTGAGAGGATTCACCGGAGAAGAGTGGGGAGCAGAACACACAGACTGACTGAAATACACACTGCTGAGAGGATCAGCAGGCGAGTCAGGAGAGGTCTGCTGTGCCATGTGGATCACCTCTCTGGCTGGGGATTGAACTCGTGCTGCAGTGACTGCGGGTAGCTTCATAGTGGTGCATCTTAACCCCTTGCACCACCAAGGAGGCCCCGAAAAATTTTTTAAAAATAGCCCATAATCTCACTAATTCAGTAGCTTTTATTGACATTTTAAAAAAAAAAGGTATTAGGGCCTCCCTGGTGGCGCAAGGGGTTAAGCACCGCACTACGAAGCAACCCGCAGCCTCTGCAGCACGAGTTCAGTCTGCGGGCCGGCCAGGGAGAAACCCACATGGCGAGGCAAACTTCTCCTGTCTCGCTCCCTGCTCCCCTCAGCAGTGTATTTTGGTCAGTCTGCCTGTTCTGTTCCCCACTCTGGTGGATCCTCTCACTGCCCCCCCCATCTCTGGCCTGTACCCCCAGCTCTTGTATGCATAAATCAAAAATATCTTTAAAAAAAAAAGGTAATACAAGTTCATAGTTAGAAAATTCAAATAAAACCAAAGTTCAAAAGAAGTGAGATTCTTCTTCACAGCGCCCCAACCTCAATGCCAAATATAATACTGTTTCTCCATTTCCTTACCGACAAAACTTTTTTTTTTTTAAAGAGGCATGAATTTTTATTTATTTATTTATTTATTTATTTGTTTGTTTGTTTATACATGCACTGGGTACAGTCAGAAGCGCGGGAGGGTGAGAGAATTCACCAGAGCCAGAGCGGGGAGCAGAGCAGGCAGAAGGACCCAAGTACACTGCTGAGGGGAGCAGCGGACGGCAGGAGAGGTCTGCGCGCCATGTGGGACCCTCCTCTGGTGGCCGGGGAGCAGGAGAGGTCTGCGCGCCATGTGGGACCCTCCTCTGGTGGCCGGGGAGCAGCTGGGGATCGAACCGGCGCCGCAGAGGCCGCAGAGGCTTCGCAACCCAGCGCTTAACCGCTGCGCCACCGGGGAGGCCCCTTACCGACAAAACTTTTATGATTAATATCAACATTCAAATAATCTCTCTATATTTTTAAAGTTAATTCACACAAAAAAGGGATCAGGCCAAACATGATTTGCCTCTTTCTTTTTTCACTTAGTATTAGAAGACTATACTTGAATCCTCTTGTATAAAAAGACATTCATGTTTGAAACATCTGGGCAGGATTCAGAGTTGTCAGTATGTGACCATGTATTCGTTCGTATATGTATGTGTATATATATTCAATATATGGTTATTGTGTAGAATTTTATCCTTGTGAAGTTAACTAGTTTAATAATTTGAGAAGTACTGTCACCATTCTAGAACCAACCCTTCCTTCATCCAAACATTTTATTTATTTTTTTTAAAGATTTATTCATTTATGCACACAAGAACTGGGGTACAGGCCAGAGGTGTGGGGGGTGAGAGGATTCACCAGAGACAGAGTGGGGAACAGAACAGGCAGACTGACTGAAATACACTGCTGAGGGGAGCAGAGGGTGAGTCAGGAGAGGTCTGCTGTGCCATGTGGGTCACCTCCCTGGCTGGGGATCGAACTCGTGCTGCAGTGACTGCGGGTAGCTTCATAGTGCTGCATCTTAACCCTTTGTGCCACCAGGAAGGCCCTCATCCAAACATTTTAAAATACACACATGCAATGACATAATTTGAATGCTTCCAATGGTGTCAGTGAAGCATTTACTGCTTCATCTACATTTAGTTCACAACCATTATCAAAGAACTTAGCCACTTTGATTCAGTGACATAAACTGAGAGAAAAGAACTCCATCTACTCTTTTCTCTGGGAAGTTACTAATAGAGTGCACAATTCTAGCATTATGAGAACTAGTAGTTTTCACAGAAGACTAGTCTATCCTACATAAATCTTCATTGTTCAAACACTAGGAAGCTTAAGAGTACTGTACATTGGGAATATGTTTATTTTAACCTTTCCTATTTTTCTTCAGCTGGTAGACGTCATGCAGTTGTTGAGATAGAAGATGTTTCACTAGCTGCTAAGCTGGTTGATTTGCCTTGTGTTATTGGAAGCCTGAAAACTCTCGATAAAAAAACCTTTTATAAAACAGCAAGTATTTCTCAGGTATGAACGAGTTTTCTTTATCTACTAGCTCCAGCATCCTTCGAGGAATTCCTCTCCCTCCTTTCTTTCAGTGCTCCTTACCACTTGGTGAATGGCTGCTTTTCTAACGTCCAGTTCAGTCTCACAGGATTAGATTGTCATGTTCTGTTTTGGTGTTTGATCCATAACTTTTCACTACTTTATTTTATCCGGATTTCTTTTAGAGCCCCTTGTTTGCCATTTATGGTGCCTTTTATTATTTGAAAATTGCAAGTATCTGGGATCTTCTGAACTTTGTGCTAAAACAGTTTGCTGTTACCTCTGGAGATTTGCTGTGGTTCTCACTCATCAACTCTACTGATTTCTTGTTTCCTTTCTAAATCAAATGCTAAGATATATCTGTTTTCAACATATTCCCTCTGCAGTGGTAAGCACTCAAGCTAAAAACAAAAACAAAAACCCAAACCTCAGAGCCCGTGTACAATGCTGCTGGGACAGAGAGAGAGAGAATGAATATCAATGTATGTAATGGTTTTCTGGAAAAGCCAAGTAACATTCTTCTTATTTCTCTGGTCCAGGATTTATGGTGGTAAGAATGATCGTGAATAATTACTAACCCAAGGTTTATGGCCATAGTCAACTGCTTTGTCTTTGTTAAATGTAGATGCTTGTATGTACTGCTGCTGCTGATTCCTACTCTTCTCTGGAAGAATCATTTAACTCTGCTGATGTTAAAGCAGGCAGGAAAAGTGAAAAGGAGAAACAGAAAAAATATGTCTGGAAGCATGGCAGTAAGTCATCAAAGTCACCAGCCCTTGCTCATTCTGACTGACTACATTTATCTGCTCAGTCCTAATTTTTTGTGACCCAGGGATCTGTTACCATACTTAGGTGTTTGATTCATTAGGCATCCAGACGCTTGAAGGAACTAGTCATGTCATGAACCAGTGGCTTATAGCATGACCATTCTCTAATTCAGATATATAGGTGTCTACCATCAGCCATATATACATTTCACCATGTTGAATTTATTTTAGTTACTCCACCACTTAAGAATGTCAGAAAGAAAAGGTTCCGCAAAACAAAAAAAAAGGTTAGTTGCATGCTATTTCTATCTCTTGGGTGGACTGGAAGACAATTATGAGTGGGAGGGGAAGGGAGACAGCCCATTGGGAGTAATTTGTTCATTCCTTTGTATGTTCAATAAACAGTTATAGAGTATGAGCTAAATGCCAGGCACTGTGTGAAAGCCATTGGGAAGTGACTAAAAACAGGCCTGATCCTTTGAGTTATAGGTTAGTGATTTAGGATTAGGATGTGTTATGAATTGAAACTTCTGCTAGTGCTTTTAATTTTCAATTGTAAGCTAGCGTTTTAAAGTGAACCCATCCAGAACCTGAGAATTGGGAATTGTGGTTATATTCCTAACCATCCCTCAGACCTGTAGAACCTTGGACAAGCTACATAAGTACTGTGGCTTGGCTTCCTTTTGTAATTGTGAAATAATTGTAGATTCACATTCAGTTGTAAGAAATAGAAAAGTGAAGCTGTATACCCTTTACCTATTCTTCCCATTATAACTTTCTGCAAAACTATAGTACAATATTACAAACAGGAAATTGACATTATTATAATTCACCAATGGTGTTCAGATTTCTCCAGATTTATGGTACTCTTGTGTGTTATGTGTGTATGTGTGTTTAGTTCCATGCAGTTTTATCCCACGTGTATGTTCATTTATCCATCTATAAAGTTAAGATACTAAACAATTGGGTCACTGTGAGGAATCCCCATCTTGCCTTTTTGTAGTGATGCCCACTTCCCTTCTACCCCAGTCTCTAACCCCTGGCAATCACTAATATGTTCTCTATCTCTATAATTTTGTCACTTTTAGAATATCACATAATTGGAATCATCTGATGTATAAGATTTGAACTGACCCTTTTCCTCCCATTCAGCATAATATCCTTAAGATTCATGCAAGTTTTTACATGCATCAATAGTTGATTCCTTTTCATGGCTGAGTAGTATTCAATATTATCGATGTACTACAGTTTAACTGTTGACCATTGAAGGATATTTGGGTCGTTTCCAGCTCTTGACTATTATAAATGAAGCTCTGAGCAGGTTTTTGTGTAAATGTAAGTATTCATTTCTTTGGGAAAAATACCCTGGAGTGAAATTGCTGGGTCATATGGTAGTCAAATGTTGTTTGATAAGAAATTACCATACTGTGTTTCAGAATGGCTGTACCCTTTTACATTCCACCCCCGCCAACAATGTATTTGTGATCCAATTTCTCTACATCCTCACCAGCATTAGGTGTTGTTACTTTTCTATTTTAGCCATTCTTTTAGATGTGTGGTGATCTCATTGTGGTCTTCATTTGCATTTCCCTGATGGCTAATGATGTTGACTATCTTCTGTGCTCTTTGCCATCTGTGTACTTTCAACTTTAGTGACAGACATTCATGTCTTTTTGCCCATTTTCTAAATGGTTTTTTTATTGTTGAGTTTTGAGAGCTCATTTTCTATTCCAAATACTAGTCTTTTGTCAGATACATAGTTTGGAAATATTTTCTCCCTCTTTTTAGCTTTTATCTTCTTGCAGGGTCTTTCAAAGAGCTAACATTTTTGGCTTGATAACATCCAGTTCGTTGGTTTTTCCTTTTAAGGATCTTGTTTTTTGTGTCAAGTTTATGAACTCTGCCTAGCTCAGATCCTGAAGATTTTATCCTGTTTCTTTTTTCTAAAAGTTTTACATCTTACATTGAAGCCTGCAGTCCATTTTTGAGTTAATTTTTATAAAAAGTGTGAGGTTTAGTTCAACACTTTTTTTTTTTTGGCTTCTGCATGTCCAATTGCTCTTGCACCATTTGTTTAAAGGGTATCTTTCCTCCACTGCATTGCTTTTGTATCTTTTCCAAAAATAAGCAGGGCAGATTGTGTGGTTCTGTTTCTGGGTTCTGTCTTTTGGTTCACTAATCTGTGTGTTGACTGATCCACTGAGAATCACAGTGTAGCTATATGATACCTCTTGAAATCAGAAAGACTGTTTACACTTCATTTTTTCTTTGCCAGGATTGTTTTCACCATCCTGAAGCCTGTACATTTCCATATAAATTTTAGAATAAGTTTGTCTCTTTATAGAAAAACTTATTAAACATTTTGATAGGAATTGCATTAAACCTATGTTGAGTTAATCTATGAACACAGTTGCCTTGGCTTTTAAACTGTTAGTCAACAGGCTCTATTGAGTGACTACTAAGTGTAAAACTAAGTTAAGAATAGTTTTATAATTCTTTAAGCTTTAGTGAACTAGAGTAATCTTAATATAACTTCATTGTTTATTGTGTTTTATTTCATAGACCAATGATTTCAAACAATTGGAAGAAGTCAACCTCACTGAGGTAGAGCAATCATAATATGACTTTATTATTTACTCTTAGTATGTTTTATTTCATAGTTCATTCATTTCAAAGGAATCATGGAGATTATTTTTAAGCGTTATTTCTCACCTCTATCACTTACCCCCAGTGACACACACTGAATTTGATTCAGTGAAAAATGAACTCATTGTTTAATGTCTGATAACTCCTAGAGGAAAATATATAATTTGGACAGTGACCTTGTATATTTTAATCTGCTTTTCCTGATATTTATTTAAAACATCATTTCTGGGAAACCAGCGTTCACTTTTACCAGCAGTTGTTTGCAATTGTTTATTCTCCCTCAAAGTTCTAATTTCTATTTGTGGCATGACGAATTGGTTGCTGTGGAGATAATTGTCTAAAACTGGATTTAAGGGAGAACATGTAGCTAAGACTCAGTTTTTACAGGAAAACTTTCTCTAATAATAAAATTGTGAGTAAGTGAAATCTGGGAATTTGAATCTTTAAATCAAATTACTTCTAAATAACAAATAAAAACTGATATTGTTCTTTGCCAGTAGGGGTCAAGGCAAATAATAACTGAGCCCTAAGGGTCGTGCCTCTGAGAAATTTCTTTAATAAGAGTTGCAGGTTAAAAAGATTAATTGTTTCAAGCAGTTTATTTGATTGGGGGAAAGTAAGCTTACCGTATAAACATCTAGACCCTGGTTGAAGATTCTTGCATAAATAGCGTTACTTACAGTAGAAATTTGGTTTGATGGATATGTAAAGTTTAATTCTTTTAATTCATTTATATATAGGAGAAGTGCATTCCTGCAAAACACAGAGTGTTCAATGACATTCCTAGTATTCCTGCCATCCCACCGTGGCTCAAAATACTGAGTCTCCTGAAGTGGAGAAGGAAGTGAAAAGACTCCTATATTCAGATGCTGAAGCTGTCAGTGCCCGTATCCTTTGATATCAAATATTTTCTCTTGTAATCTGTTCTATCTCGTGTGTACTTGCTGACAAACCCTCACTTGTGATATTTATGTGCCAGTTTTGATGTATAGAACTTATGCTTTCTGGAAAAGTTACTTTCTAGCTAGAAACAGTAAATTCACATAATAGAAATTTATTTGTGTAATTCGATACAAATGGCCTGAGGTTGAGCCTCTTCCTTTTCAGCTATGCCACCTCCTTTCTTTCTGCTTTTTCCTTGACTACCTCACCTTTCAGGATGGGAGGTCATTGGTGAAGATGGTACTAAGGAAATAGAAAGTCAAGGCTCCATTCCAGGCTTTGCTGTCTCGCCAGGACTAAGTGGCTATAAGCAGAAACGTTTCCCATCAGGTACATTCATAAAGGCAAAGCAGGAGCTTCAGCGAGGGCATATATTGTCCCCTTGGGAGACCCATTGTCTGTAGACTCACAGGCCAATCACAGAACAAGGGCACTTTTGCCCTTCTTTCTTCTTATTGGTCCTTCTATGGGTTAGGGCTTTTAGATTGGTATTCTGATCTCCCATTCGTCCCTGGTGGGTGCTCTAAATGTCTTGATCATTGAATACCTGAATGGGTGTTACAGTGCTTTGTATTTCCTGCCCTTGTTTTCAGAAGAGAATCATCTTCCTGCAAGAAAAATTATAAAATTAATTGGTTGCTGAGTAAATGTGAGGAGGAATATAACTGTAGTTGGAGTGGATGTCATTTGAAAAGCTTCAAATAGTTTCATCTTCCTTTTGTTTAAAACCAATAGAACATGATATACTTCGGGACATGTTCAGGGATTCTAGCAGTAACAGTAGTGATGAAGAGGATGAGGATGAAGAGGAGTATGACTATGATGAAGAGGAAGAAGATTTTTATGAAGAAGATATGGAAAGGAAGCTACAGGCCAAGTTCTTGGAAGCTCGCCAGAGTGGGGGAAAGGAAGTAGCTCGTTCAGTAGGTAAGTGAGAGGAAAAATCAAAGGGGTACGGCACGGTGGCAGGTGGGGTGGGGGGCAATGCTAAAGATTGACTCTAAACACACAGTACATGCAAGGCTAAGCTTGAGAAGTTACCATTCAGATGTGTAGTAGAGTTTTAGTTGATTTGGATCTTGGTCTATTAGTTTAGGTTATGTTTTGATACAAAAAGTTTCTATCTATCTCTGTTAGTCGTGGAAATTCAGAAGTATATTGATTACCTGGAGAGAAAGCTCCAAAATATTCAAAACAAAGCACAAAGGCAGAGGAATCTCATCATGAAAGTGGAAAATCTGACACTCAAGGTAAATTCTTGTTGGCAGGTGTAAAGGTATTTTGGTGTCTAACTTTCAGGATCCCATCTTTAAGTTTCTACTAAGTCACCCCTGTGCAGCATTCTTGTTCATTTGTGAACCCAAACAACCCCTTAGAAACCCCTAATACAAGACAGCCCTATTTCCTGTTACCTGAATAATTTTGATCATCTCTTATAAGCATTTTTGGGAAGGACCAGGAGACTTGAAATAGTAATTGCTAACATTGAGCTTTTACCATGTGAAACTAAGCATTTTATATGTATTAGTTCATCCTGCCATTTCTGAAATACTATTATTTCCCACTTTTTAAAAATTATTTCCAACCATTCCCATTTTGTTGATAAAGAATTGAAATTCACAGAAGCTAAGTAACTTGCCAAAGACCATAGTAAGTGGTGGGACATAGATTGAGCACTGTTGTTTTGTACCAAAATTAACTAAACTCATTTTGAATGTTGATTTAAGTGATTCATGCCTAAACAAGAATAAATATGTTGCTTTATTTTATTATTACACATTAGTATACATTTTATTAATACACAGGTCAGCAAAAGGAAAATGTTTGTTTAGGCCATGTTTGGTTTCACTTTTTGGAGTGAGGGAAATTCCAAAGCATCTGGAGAATTCTTTGCCAGATTTCATTTTCTGTAGAGCTGTTGTGACCCAAGATGAGCACCTTGACATTTGAGTGTTGGCCTTTAGAATAACCAGATGAGATAATGGATGCATATATACTTTGAGAGATACAGATAGATGGTATTATTATGATTGCTGTCACATGCAGTACTAGTTAGGAACACTATACACTCCCTAGTGCAGGGAAATGGAAAAGTCAGCACCACAGTCCAAGCCAGCTTTTTAAATAGTTCACCGCAGTCAAAGGATTGTACTAACCTAAAAAGAGGTAAGAGGAAAGCATTCCAACTATTTATTTTAGGGCAAGAAAAGAAATGTTGTATAGGGCAAATCAAATCTAATCTGATGGCCCTGTCGCTAGGAGATGCAGTTTTTATACTATAAATCCTTTAAAAAGAATGCTATTTTGTGATGACTGACTATTTTTCTTATCAAATTATTTACCAAACTCTTGTCTGCCTAACCCGGGTTCTCTTTTCCTTTGAGACTTGGTATTCATCATTTATACAATTTGTTTTCCAGAATCATTTAAAGAATGTGCTGGAGCAGCTTAAGTTACAGGAAAAGCAAAAAATTGAACAGGTGAGAAGTGTATTTTCGAATCAACCAGAAAATGTTTGAGACAAACAATCCCCACCCTTACCCCTAATCTCATTTTGGGCAGTTCCTTTCACGGGAGTAGTAGTGGCCAAACCTTCTAAATGAGGGTAGCAAATTGGAACAAGCTCTTTGTGAAAATTCACTCATCTCATCAGTTACTGAATGCCTATTAAGTGAAAAACACTGGATGTGTATAGTGTTGAATAAGACAGATGCATTATTTGTCCTCATGAAGCTAACAGTCTAGCGGAGATTGACAGTAAAAAATTATATCATCCTGAAGAAGTGGTGTGAAAGGAAAAGGTCAGCGGTGCTATTTGAATAAAGAAGAGTCCTGAATTAAATTGCCAGGGTGGGGGTTGTACTGGGTTTCTCTGGAAGTGACATTTAAGGCGAGGCCTGAAAGATAATTCCAGGCAAAGAGGGGATGAAGAGCCACTTGGATGGAGCATATGCCAGGTCCCACACTGAGAAAGAACATGGCCTCTTTGGAGACCACTGGAATACTTAAAGCAAGGAAGAGTGACAGAACGTAAGGTTAGAGAAGTAGGCAGAGGCCATATTGTATGGTCCCTTGCAGGCTGTGCTAAGGAGGAAGGGTGTTAGTCTTGAGCGCAGTGGGAAGCCCTGGCAGAGCTTTAAGCAGGAGAATCACATTTAATTTAAACTTTTAAAAGATCACTCTGATTATCTGATTGGATTGTAGAAGGGCAGGACTAGAGACAGGGAGGCCAGTTAGGAGTGGTGGTAACTTAATAAGAGGTGGTAACTTAATAAGAGATGGTGATAACTTGGACTAATGTGGTGGCATTGGGGATTAAAAGTATATTTTAACTATGATATATAATTAATGTCTTTCTAACAGCTTTATTGATCTATAACTCACATCCCATACAATTCACCTGTTTAAATTGTATAGTTCACCCATTTAAATTGTACAATTCAGTGGTTTTTAATATAGTCACAGAATTGTGCCGCTGTTATTACAACTACTTTCATAACATTCTCATCACCCCAAAAAGAAATTCACCATTTTCTGTGAATTCCTCCTAACCCCCAGCCCTAGGCAACCACTAATCTACTTTCTACTAGTCTACTTTGCCTATTGTTATTTCATATAAAAGCAAACATAACCTATGGTCTTTTGTATCTGACTTCTTTCACTTCGCAGAATGTTTTCAAGGCTAATCCACGCTGTGGCATGCATCAGTTTTCCATGTTATGGCCAAACAACATTCCATTGTATGGATGTTCCACCTTTTATTTATCCTTTCATCCATCAAGGGGCATTTGAGTTGTTTCTACTTTTTGTTATCATGAATAATATTGCTACAAGGATTCATATGTGAGAGAATGTATTTTAAAGGTAGAGTTGATGAGACTTGGGTCAATTACTGGGTGTTGAAGAGAAAGAGGTGTTAAGGATGTAACCCAGATTTCTAACGTGAACAACTGTATTATTTAAAGCCACAAGAAAGTGATCAGAGTGAAAGGAGATCAATGTGGAATAAGTGAGGATCAAGTCGCAATACAGGAATGTATGCTGCCCCCAGCCCTATCCTGTTGGGGGTAACCATTTAAAAGAGACTGACCTTTGAAGACTGTGACCTTTAAAGGATGTCCTAGTGGCAGGAAGGGAGGGAGCAGCTTTCTCTATGATCTGAGCAGACGGGTGAAAGGAGAGTCCTGGAGCCCTTCGTGGCTTTTTCAGGCTTTTATTGGGCTTTACCAGGCACACAGCAAGCAGGGGGGCCAAGGGGCGGCAGGGAGGCTAGCGAATCTTCACTCTCTCTGGGCTCTCCCGCGTTCTCTCGTGACCTCTGCTTCCTCCTCTCCTCTCCTCCTTCTGGTCTCTCTTTCGCTCTTGTAAGCCAGCCTCAGCCCAGGTGAATCCCACCTATGTATGCCCACACCCCACGTCAGGTGCCCGCCAGCAGGCATGCATTCAGGACTGCAGGGATCCATCATCAGTCCTAATGGCGGGAGGGCAGAAAAGCCTGACAATTATTTCCCCTACAGATGTCATATTATGAAGATGGGCTTAGTATGCATTTCAAAGGTAGAGCCATTGTCCCCAATCCCATGTCAGCAAGGCCAGGGGAATTCTTATGTTCTGTATTTTCCCTTTCCCTTAGCAAATCCCTTCTCCAACTACTGCTTATAAAACAACCACATGAACCGTTAATGCCAGGATCACTTTAGCACCCGCAAACAAAACAGTTTGTTTTCCTTCATGTAAGTAGTTAGTTTTGGCAAGTGCTATTTTCAACATAAAAACATAGCTGTAAATGCTATTTACCCAGAGTTCTTTATGTTAACTCATGTATTCAATGCCTACTTTAAACTAGGTTCTGCAGAGAGCTACAGAATACTTACAACACAGTCTGTGCCTCCAGCTGGGGAGAAGAAGTCCATGAGGGGGATAGGAATTTAAAGGAATGAGCACTCATCATTTGTCTGTGGAGATTAGGGGAGAGGTCATGGGGAACAGGTGTTCGGCTGGGACCTTAAAAAGCGGGTATGGCTTTAATAAAGAGATAGGAAAAGAAGGGCATTATTTATCGAAAGGAGGGTGCACATTGACTCAGGTGGGATGCCAAACTGAAGAATTTAGGGTTTTGGTGTAGGCTGCAATGAGTCACCAAAACATTTTCACCTGGGGAATAACTTAGGATGATTTCTCTGCCGGCAGTATGTAGGAGAAACTGGTGCGGGGAGAGACTGGAGGAGGATGCACGTGATAGAGTCAGTACTTAACAATGTTTGAATTTACAGTGCGGAGAAAAGGGGAGCAAAGACAAGTCCAGTGCCTGGGTAACAGGAAAATGGTCTGCCACTAATAGAAATGAAGACAGCAGGAAGAGGATTATTGGGGGCAGGAGTGGAGAAGATAATGGGTTGAGTTGGAAGTATATTGAGTTGTGAGTGCTTTTGAAAATGGGAGATTGGGGAGTGGTTCAGACACAGACATGTTTAGTGAAGCTGTGGGGGACAGGTGGGTTAGTCAAGTTGACTGTTCCAAAGAAGTCTGAACCTAAAGAAAAACCTCCCGTTAGGGGGTGGTGGAGGAGAAAGAGCCCACAAAGGAGAAAGAATTGGAGCAATCAGTGATTGTAATCCTGGTCAATTGAGGTGGTCTGGAGCTGAGTGAAAAGAGCCTCTAAATGACCACAGGTAGCAGTTACAGCTATTCAGGGGATGGTGCGGTACACAGGATGGTTTTGTGATGTTCCATTCCTCTCATTTCATCGAGTGAAAAGCTATACCTACACTGGTGTGGAGCAGCCGACATTGAATAATGTTCCAAAACAATCTTTGTCCCAAAGGCAGTATACCCTGTCGGCATGTTATGGGTCATTTTGTCATTTCAAGTTTAAAAAAACAATACCCTTAAAGCACAAAAGGTTCAGCGTTTCTGACTTAGAAAGCATTAGGATATTAGTAGAATATCATAGGGCCCCTGCTGGTCAGCACTCTGACCTTATTTCCAAGCATCAGCTAGGACTGTATGAGACCCGGTGTGTTCAATGGAACAAGAGGCTATCCCAACTGCCTTATCTTCTGACAGAATATGGCTACAGTCTTGCCAGAAGTACAAATTCTTAACGGCATATTTCATTTTTAAAGCATCTTCAGTTTTTGTAAAATCTCAATCAGGATTATTGTCGTATGAAACAGGCATAACAGAAGTGTTAATTGCACTGAAAAATGCTTTGGTGTTTGTTCGTTGCCAAATGAAGGTATGAAAGTGAAAAACCAGTTGATATTTTGGCTACTCTTTATGTTACTGGTAAATTATGGAGTAGCACTCCCCAGATGGCCATGCTTTTTAGTCACGGTGCAAGTGAGTTACAGTGAAGCCATAAGAAGAGAAGAAAATGTTATCAGGTAGTCAACAAGCCAGGTTTCCCCTTTTAGAACTCTGCAGAAAGCAATGGAATTAAATTATTGTAATCAGAATCATTCTAAGCATGTTCAGTTTTAAAGCCTCCTTTTGTAAGTTTGATCTGATAAGGGACAACATCGTGGTCATACCATTGGGCACATACCAGTATGTGGTATGTCATACCACTGGGTTTTGGAACATTGCAAGACTAAGAACCTTCTAAAAGCCAATATAAATAAATTCTAGATCCAGTATTGGAACTTAAGATTTCAGATGAATTTTTCATATTTTTCTGTCTCGCCCTACAGCTCATTTACCTACGGGAACAATTGAGATATTTTCTGGAGAAGTGAGAAGAGCCATCAGTCTGGCACAAAACCTTGGATTTACCAGACTGGATAAAATTGTGCATGTTTTTATTCCTTTAGTTGCCTTATGTTGAATTGTGCTTTGTTGCCTTATTTTGAATATACAAGTTATTTATTAGAAGTTTGTAACCTGTAGAAAGGGACAGAATATAAAAATCTTTTAGGTTTTTAGACCAAAAGACCCAATTCAGTGATGGGACTTTGCTTCCCCCCCCCCCAATTAATTTGAGAATTACTTGTATTGCTTTTATTCTGTGGTACTATCAGATGCTAGAGCCATGCTTGCCAAAGGCCGATAGTCTAGCCTGAAAGTCAAACCACTGATTTGCATTTGTTTTAACAGTTCCTTTTTTTGTTTCCAATATTCCCTAAAACACAGAAGAAAGCAAGTCATTTCTGCCAAGGCTAGGACCTGCCATGGTGAACTTAAGTGCCTGCCTCACAGCTGTTAATGCTAGGTGTGTGCCCTGTCTCTATTGCTGGTCCCCAGGGCTGCTCTCCTGCTCAGGGGTGATTTGCTGCTGCTATCTTTGTTCGGTTGTTGTGTTTTTAGGACTGTGAATGGTTGGTATTTGTCAGCTAAGGGAACAGTTAGACACAGTAGAGATGATATTCTGAGCTGTTATTCTGAGCCTCTACGTTCTAACCCTCATCAGAAAAGGCTAGGGAAAACCAAATGCCTGTGAAGACTTCCCAAAAAACCCTGGGTGAATTCTTTTTCCCCAGTTGCATTGTTAAGGTCTTATGTCCTTTAAGCAATAAAATAAATGCCTCATGTTAAATGGATTGCTGTCTCCTTATTGAACTGCTCTCAAAACAAATTCATATTCAAAGGAAACTGGAGAGAGAGGCAAAGTCTAGGAAATGACAGAAGAGACTGTCAGTGTGGGGCATCCTTCTAGAGTTCTTAAGATAACTCAATGAATTAAGCAAATCATCTCATTAACCATATAGCATTGGGATTTTAAAAGAGCATGTAGAGAAGCAATCAAGATGGAAGCTGTGGTATTGGCAGTGAATTATGTTGTAGTGGAATTGTTAGGGGGAAGGATGTCCTGAGCTAATCCCATACAGGCTTTGTGGACTCCACCCCCACTCCAGACCAAAGCCATCAGGACATTGGGAAAGACGAATCCCATCACCACCAAAGGGAAGGTGGCTGGGACCTGAGGGTGGAGTTAAGCAGCCAGGGTTGGTATAAAAACCAGACACGTGGGCCTTGGGCTCTCTCGCTCTGTTGCTCGCCTCCTGGCTTCACGGCTCCCGGCTCGTGGCCAGCTCTCAGAGCGCCATTTTGGGATTCCTGATCGGCGGTTTGGGTAGGACGCATTTAAAACTTAGTCTCCCACTTTTCTCCCTGAGCTGTACATTTCCTCATTTCCCCTTCCCTTGTAAATAAACCTTTTATTAACCTTTCGTGTGTGCCTGCAGTAGAGCATTGATAAGTCCTTTTAAGCACGCGGGTGAGGACCCACAATCAGGCACCCCATTTTGTATCGGGGCTGTCCTATAACAGAACAAACACAAGGTGGGGATCCCAGCTCCGCCACTCACTATGGGCAAGTCCCTCTACCTGTTAGAGGCTCCATTTCTTCATCTGGATGTTTAGGCTGATACTGCTTATCACTGAGAGGCATCCGATGATCTTTGGAAATGGCCCAGCTAGATCCAGATCTGGCCCCAGTCGATGATATCTGTGCTACTGTAACAGGGCGGTCCCCAGGACAAGGGGAGATTCCAGGTTCCCTGCCCCACCCAAGGGGGTTTGGAGCTGAGCAGGGGATAGAGGAAGCTGGAGAGGAGACTGGGAAGGAAGGAAGCAGGATGGAGAGCCAGAAGGAGACCTGGAGGAGGCACATGGAGCAGAGAGAGGTGAAGAAACTGTGCTCGCTTCTTGGTCTTGGACTGGCTGAAAGATGTGAGAGCCCCGTGGGGAGCTTTACAGTGGCAGTGTTTATCTTGATCTTGATTTTGCTCTCTTCCTTCCAGACTTCTGGCAGTTTCTGACCCTTTTCTATGGGTCCACACCAGAAGGTGCTTTAGACTTGTGGCAGGCTTTCGGGCCTTGCTTTGGGCCAACCGTGTTTGGCTGGATACTTACCCATGAAGGGATTGGTAACTTCAGGTGCTTGATTTGGGAACTTTATTCTTCCCCATTCTCCCCCTTTTCTGTATTACACACGAATTATATTAAAGTTCCTTTCCATTGAAGGTCTTACTAGAATATGTTTTGTCATGATACAGCAGATGGCAAAACCTACTTAGAATAGGCAGGTTTGGGGATTCTGGGATGCCCCTCTTCCTACCCTGTAACACTACCCTAGGAAATGTACTCCCAAGTTTTCTGTGCTACTTTTAGTGCTCACATCCCAAGTTGAAGTTTGCCAAGAGCAGAAAAGAGGAGGTCAGTATGTGTGAGCAGTGCCTATGGAGGAGGATAAAGATGGAAGGAATGCTGGGGGCAAATGCAGGGAAGAAACAGGGCTAAATACATGATAAGGGCAAACAAAATGAAGCTAAGATTAGGAGAAAAGAAAGAGTAATGATGATATAAAATAGACCCCCCCCACCCCAGAAACCCAGAAATTAAAAGATGAAGAGAAAGAAAATGGGAAAAGGAATTGAGTGTCAGGCAGAAAGGGGCGGGGGGACGAGACAGGTAAATTTTCTGGGTGTATCTGGGTTTCTTGGTTCTTTACCAGCTGGATCTGTCAGCCTACTTGACCATTTCTAATACTTAGGCCTTTCCAGATGAAGGGAGGCAAGAGACGAGCAGAGACAGATAAAAAAGCACCCCGTGGACATGGCTGGGGAGACTGAGGCCAGTGAGGGTGGAACACTGTGTCTGCAGTGCCCTTCCAGTCCTTCTGCTATCATATGTTACTGTAATCTAGGGTTCCTGTTTCACCACTGCCCCCCAGGCCCTCCTGGGCTTATTGCCCCCCCCAATGCCTCACCCCACCACCAAACATACTCATTTCTGTATTTTGAGGGTGCCTTTTACCCACCTCCCTCATTCTAGCGAGGCATGGGACTTTCTGCCTGTCCCCCCCCACTCCAAGGATGTGAGTGCAGGCCTTAAGTCTGCTTAGTTGCAGTGTGGAATGGACTCCTCAGCAACGGGGTGTCCGACTGTTCATGTGCGTGTCATCTGGCCCCTTTCGTTTCAGGGTAGTCCTGGGGAATGGGACCCAGGGAGCTGTAACATCGCTGATCCTGCTTTTGCTGTCTCTAAGTAATAACTTGTCTGGGTCTATCGGGTTTTCCTATTTCTTTACCAGCTGGACCTGTCAGCCTACTTGACCATTTCTAAGACTTAGTGAAAGGAAGAGAGAAATGAAGGATCTCATCAACAACTGCTTCATACAATTATACAATATACGATGACATGTGGAAACCATAGTATTTTAGATATATTGGGGCGAGTCAAATATGTTATTAAAATTACTGTCACCTGTTTTATTGTATTTTCTACGGTGACTAGAAAATTTTAAATTGCATTTGTGGCATGCATTTTATTTCTACTCTTTAGATTGGTGAAAAAGAAAAGGTGGTGATGGGGCAGAGGGACTGACAAGGTTTTATTTTGGCAGAAATTCATCCCTGTGAATTAGTGGGGATGGTTTCTGTATATATATGGCCATATGTGAGACCTAACTTTATGGAAACCTGTTGTATTGTTCTGACTTTTCTCATTATGCCTCAGGATGCTGAAAAATTCCTAGATGGATGAGGATAGTCCCGTGAGGGGATAACTAGCTAATGTGCATGGGCTCTTCAGAGGTAGACACCTGTCTCCAGGTAGCAGCGGTGGAGGGGACTAGTGAGGTATCTTTGGGGTCCTGTGCCTGGACTCATGTGGGAGCCTATGATTTGCTGTGCTCCTGTGGTTGCTTGGCCCACCCTCTCTTCCCACACTCAAATAAAGGAAGGATGTAGAATATCGGAGTCAAGGAGTATAACCAGAGGAACCAAAGTAAACAAATACAAATTTATTCTTTTCAAAGCAGAATTCAAGGGAAGGGGGAAAAGCACCACAGTGAGTGGCATTCTAAGTTAACCCATTTGTTCCCAGCCCCGCCTCTTCACCCCAAATTTTTTAGACCTGTATGCCACTCTTGCCACTTCTCCCAAACCCTTCCCCAACTGCCATCTTTGTGACCAGTTCTTTCAGACAGCAAGCGGCATAGCAGACTTCAGTCTGGCCTCAATATTGCCCTGGAGACAGCAAGGACATTCAGCTGGTCCCCCCTATACACAGCTGCTGTGGGAAGAGATGGAGGCTGGGAGAAGAGCCCTGGCCTTGGGCCTTTCCCTCTCCCACAGCCATTGATGTTAAAAAAGTAAGAAGGAGCTGAAGTATTCCTTTGTTCCCAGGACCAGATTTTGGCAGAAAGGCCCAGAAATAGAGTTGCCCATCTGAGCAGCTAGGTCTCCATACCTCTCAGGCAGTGTTCTCAGTTTCTCTCCAGGACTGTTTGTCAAAAGTCAGCTACTCTCTCATTTATTTCTCACCTATGTCAAGGGAACTTTTTTTTTTTTTTTTTGTGGGACCCTCACCAGCGGCCAGGGAACGAACCGGCGCTGCAGAGGCTGCGGGCAGCCTTGCAGCCCAGTGCTCAACCGCTGCGCCACCAGGGGAGGCCCTGTCAAGGGAACTTTGAAGAGATTCCTGGCCTGAAATTGTCTCAGAAACCACAAGCCTATTCCTGAGAATGTGTGTTCAGGGAATGGTCTAGCCTGAAGCTGCGTATAGATCCCAGGTGCCAAACACACCTCAGAGAGCAAGGGATTCCTTAAAATGTATCTGGCAGGAAAACATATCTGAGGATTGGCCTCTGCGTGACCTCAGGGTTTCACCAATTCTGGAAGTACAAGAAACTTAAACAGGTTCCTCCGCAGGGAAATAGCTCCACTCTTTGGGCCTTAAAGGAAATGGGCACTTTGAGAGCCTTTCCATTGTGGAGGGGAGGGCCCTCATCCCTCTTGAGCAGGCCCTCCCTAGGGAACCACACAAGAAACGACCTGAGGGCCTCCAGCCAGTCAACCTTCCCTAGCAATTTCCCAGTCAACACGAATCCATTTTGCTCTCCCTCCAAGTGGAGGCATCCTCCTAACGGCTTTTGGGCCTCTGTCAGATTCTGTCAAGAATAAATTGCCTCTCAATCCTAACTGTTCCCCATACTATTTGACAACAACCCCAGCAAGCACTCACATTCCTTATCACTGATGCTAATGCCACAAGTCAAAAGTTTTCCTTAGACAGCCTACCCAGCCAGTGCCTTCCTTGCCCTTGAGTGCAGAGCTATAGACTACGCAGCGTCATACACAGTACGTCTAGGAGACACGACACATGACAGATGCCTAACTACAAATAACACATCTCGGCAAATCCCACCCTAACCTGGATTCACCGTGCCTGAGGACCCACCGACCTCACTGCGGGCCAGCTGCCCTCACGTGCTGCAGTAACGGCACCTGGACCCTCGAGCGATACACCCACCTTGGGCATTATGGTCAACGAAGGCCACACAGTGTCAGCGACCCCGTTAGTGAGAATCAACTCTTGGCCTGCTGCTTCGGTCCACCTACAGCACAATCCTACATAACAAGATCTACATCTTTTTTAAAAAAACAAAAAAACAAAAACAAAAAAACCATGCCTGGTCTGCTGCAGTTGCCACAGGTGCTCACAGCTCAAGATCTCTTGGGTAGAACAAGGGTTGTGGAAAGGATTCTCCAGGTGAAAGACTGTCTCATAATATTTGCCCTCCTAAAGCTGAGGCAGATGTATGCCTCGACGACTTTGAGCTCCCTGCACTATAGCAAGTTTCTTCTATGCCACGCATGGCCAGATGCCAGGCTCTGAGACCCGCTTACTACCTGTTCAGCGTACATCCAGAGAGCCAATCCTGCCTGTAGGCCTCGTGAGCACTAAGACAGATGTTGGGATGAGGTCTGACACCTTCAACCTATGGCCAAGTGCCCCTGGGGATTCTAGGAGGAGACACTCCTAGGCTCCTAGACCCAGCCACCGCTCTCCCTCCCCTGCAGCAGATGAATCTAGCTTCCCAGCCATCCAACCTACCGGTCTCCTGATCCATTACAAAGCAGGAGCCCAACCATCTCATGCCCTGCTGCCCTTGATGGCAACCAGTACTTTCTTTAAGGCTTTGAGCCACAGTTAGGGACTGGAAGGAGCTACAGGATGTATGCAGGGGCTCAGCCTGGCCAAAGCTAAGAAAAGCCTATTTGTTCCTTCTTTTTTGTGCAGGGTGAGTAGAGCTTGGATTTGCTCTATTTTGGCACCTGAACCAAGTGAGAGGAGCCCAGGAAGATTCGCCCAAGGCCCAGGTCTTAAGGAAACAAGATTTGGAATGAGTGATGAGAACAGGCTTCTGTTGCTTTGGTCTCGAGGACAGCTCACCCCAAACACGAATGGAGAGGCAGCCCAAGGGAGCATTTGGGCTGCATCTATCTGTCCAACCAGAGGCTGGGGCTAACAAAGAGCAAGGCAGAACATTAATACTTCCAGAGGTATTAGAGTTTAATGTGTGAGTGAGGCCAGGAGAGTGCTGATGTACAGTAGATACGTAGGATAGATATGTCTGTATATAAACTTCGGCAATTTAGGTCAATTGTAGGGTTCTAGGTTATAAAGCTCCTTTTGATAGAAAGCTGCCTAAGTGGGCTCCGTGTTTAATGTTGCCAAGCCCACTACCCCTCCCCCCACTCTCTATTCGGAACAGTTTTTTGGATAAAAGGATCGTGGTATATGTTGCTTAGGAAAAGTTAGTTCAGTTTGAGGATCGGGTTCCCCCTCCAGAGTTATCAAAATAGTTTTCTCCAAAGGATGGCCTTGCTGTTGTCCGGGTGGAAAGCAGCCAGTTTCCTGATTTGGAGCCAGTGGCTCCTAGGAAGGGACCACTGCACAGGGTGTCTGGTGGCATCTGCTGGGGTAATCGGCCACCTCACCTGATTCACTCCAAGGAAAAGAAGGGTCACCGCCTGCAAGAGTGTTGGGCGGTCACACTCCTCCAAGCTGAAGGGTGTCGTCTGCTTCCTCACCCGAAGAGAGCAAGACCTCCTTGCTGATCAAGCTGCCGCCCCTCCCCCGGGGCTGTGAAGGCAGACTCAGAAGAGGGACTCAGCTGATCTCTCAGGATGCAGAGGTCTTCAGGAAAGGGGGTGATGGGGACAAACATCTAAGTCCATACATATTTTTTTTTAACGTTTCCAAAAGTTAGGTGGAAGGAGGAATCAGAGTGAGTTGCTCCCACCTTGAGGAAAGTCTGCCAGGGAATGAGGCAGAAGGAACTGAAGATATTTGTGGAGGAAATAACATCTGGTAGCTTCAGGATGGCTAGAACTATGACCTCTAACTGAAGCACATGGCAGACTTTTTCAGGGGCACTTGGTGGCAGGGGGTGCCTTGGGGATACCCACTTGTCTCCCTGAGTTGGGCCAGAGAGTAGGGCTAACTCCTGTGAATTCATAATGCTGGAACCAGGGATCATTAGGCTTCCCCATGTCCATAATTCCATGGAGAAGGGAAAGGGATGAATGAATGGGCACTGCTTAGTCCTGCAAGGCTGTTTCTATGCTCCCCACCTGAATGACTTCCAAGTAACATTGGCCTGGGCTGCAATAGGAGCATACTTAAGGGGCCAGTCTCAAACTTGAAGATTAAAGGGCACATTTCTAGAACCAGAGGAATCATGCCTCTCCCTCTTCCAACACCCCCTCCCCGCCCCCATGCCTGCTCCACATGCCACCAGATCCCTCCCTGGTGCTGCCCGGAGCCCAGATAACTCTGGTTGAGGAATATGGGGCCAGTGGGGACTGGAAAGTTTGGGGGAAGGCTGGGGGAAGGCTTTGATCAGAATGGGGAAAGGACTATGAACTGTAAGTTGGGGATCTGGCTCCGTCAAGAGGCCAGAAGGGTGTTGGCTGTCACATCAGAGCTTCGAACACTGGGGAAGGCATGGCGGAGTTTCTCCATGATGTCCTCCAGGCACAGGCTGACATCCTGGCTCTTTGACCCCACATCATCTGAGTCGGAAAAGAGAGAGTTGGGAAGCAAACTAGAAATTTCCTTATGAGGCTAAGGGGCTTCCCCTGCCAGCTGAAGGGCAAACCTACAGCATCTGGATCTTCCCAGCACCATGTCTAGTCCATAGGAGGTGCTCAATATACATTTTTGGAATAAATAAATGGATGAATTAGTCAATAAGCAATCATCCCTGACCTTGAACTCAAAGCCATGAGAAGAAAACATACCAACCCTAGCAGACGCTTGGGCAGGAGATCCCGGGCACGACACAGCCATGGAGGAAGGGACTGGGTGGGCTCAGGGGAACTCACCTGCAGCCTCAGTGTCTGGGGTAGTTTGTCCCTTCTCCTGGGGGTGACTGCTTTCTGACTGCTGCGGAGAGGACGCTAGCGATGAGCCTGCAGAGCCGTTGCCATTAGATTCAGTGGGTGGCTAGTAAGAGGTAAGCAAGGACTTAAGTGACTCTGCCTTCTCACCTGACTTTGCCAGACTCCTGAGCTTAGAAAGAATCTTAACGTTCTCTTGCCCATCCCTTTGCCCTTGAACGATAAGAAATTTTTGGTAGTATCTCAAACAGCGGCTTCCCCTTTTAGGAAACTTCTCAAAATATTCAATTACCTATTACTTTCTTCCTTCAAAAGCAAGTGTCAAAGGCTCCAGTTTTGTAAGGATGGTGTTACACGTAAAGGGCTTCTGTTGTCATCCCAGCTATAATTAAGCTATTTAGAACCCAATTCTCTCTGGAGATGTAGAGTTGCACACCTGATCTTCAATGCATGACATAATGTCATGCTACAGGTCTCCAGGAATTTATCTAGAGACCATCCCTTGGAGGATTCAGGGAGAGCTAAGGGGTGGTGTCATCTGGTATGTAAAATGACAATAACAGGTAACATTTGTGAAGCGTTTATTACATTACTGGCATCATGCTAAATTCTTTCAGTGCATTATCTCCTTTTATGTTCACTAAAATTCCATGGAGTTGGTAAGTTCCATTCCATCTGTTTTACAGATGAGGGAACTGGAACCAGTGAGGCTAAATGTTTCCTAATATCCCACAGCCACAAATCAGCAGAGCCATACCCCAGCTCAGGGCTGTCTGACTCCAGAACTGCCCTGTCTCCCACATGCTACCTCGCACAGAGCAAAGGGACAAGAGTCACAGGCGCTCCCTTCGCAGCCCAGCATGTCCAAAGCCGCGTCTCCAGCCAACACCATACTAGCAAAAATCGATGTTTTGGATGATTCTCTAAACTTTGTTCTTCAATATCAGCTTGGATCATGGGGATCGTGGGGAAGTGAGCCCTCAGACGTTCTCCCTCTGTTTCTGGACCCACAGGGCCTTGGGGGTCACATGCCTGGGTGGAGTGGAAGCTAGGTGGAAGAGAACTGGCAAAGGGATGTGATATGGAAGCCTCTTCTTTTGCCCACCCTCCCCAATTGCCCCCCAGTTCTCTTCAGAAAGTTATCTGACTGTCACCTGAGCCAGGGAGCGATGTCTTTCCTTCCCTTTGCTCTGTTCCCCGCTCCCCCATTCTCAGGGGCTGCTCTGGTCTTTCTCCTGGCTCCAGCCTCACCTGTAGGAGCAGCTCCCTTAAGCGCTGCAGCTGGGACTCCAGTTGTTTGTTGTGGTCTTCGAGGATCTGCATGCGCGTCTCCAGGCGGCTTTTGTGCTGCCGAAGAATCCGGGCCTCTGCCAGAAGCTCCTCATTGCGGTGGTCCTGAGCGGTGTCAGCAGAACCCTCAGCCAGGGTGGGTGCCTCAGCAGCCTCCTCATGCTGCCACTTCAGGCGCCTCAGTTCTCCCTGGAGAATCCTGTCAAGGACAGAAAAGCCAAGACCTATGGCCCTAACCATAGGTTAGGGTACTAACTGTCCCGTCCAGGCCCCAGATATCCCCTCATCCCTAGGTGTGAGCAATCCTTTTGCCCTCCCATCCTCACCTCTACCCCCACCCCTTGCTTAAATGGCCATATTCACTTTCTCCTCAGCACAGATGTCATTTACTTTCACAGCCTTGAGCCTCCGAGCAGAGAGAGCTGGCATTTCATATAACAAATGTCTCAGGGCTTTGATGTGCTGCTTCGGGGATTAATTCTGACCTTAAAATCAGGCAGAAACACAGTCTGCAAATAAATGAGCATGGGAGCTGTCAACTCACCTACTCCATTTTTAGACTCCCGGGAAAGGTAGAACATAAACAAAATATCACCCATCTTCTCTCCACTACACTCCTCTTTGGTCCACTTGGAACACCCATGCTGAGTCATCAAGGAAACAGATTCCAAAGAGATGGCCTACTTTGGGGGAGCATTACTTTTTTTTTGAAGGGGGGAGCAACAGAACTGTTCTCGATCAGGTGTTTCCCAGGGCCTGCCCACTGCTGCTCTAATGCAGTGTTTCTCCAACTATCTATAGTGAAGAACCAGGGGGCGTTTTCAACCCACTGTGCACTGGTACATGGTCTGAATGCTCACGGTCCGCTGCTCTCACCACACAAGTTCGACAACACTCAGACTGGCCAGTGCCCTATTCAATGCAGATCAGCCCCCTGAGGTGTTCGGATGTTATAATGACATTGAAAAGCTATAAAAAGTTTTTTAAGCCTTTCATTTTCTGGATTCATCTGGTCTTGAGCCAGTAACAAATGCTTTGCAGACTGGCCCTGTCCTAAGGACTCAGTCTGTGGGCCAGTGATATGAGCATTCCTGGTAAGAAGCGCAAGAACCTGGACCAAGCACCACCCCAGACTTGCAGATCAGAACCGGCATTTATACCACTGTCCAAGTGACTCACATGCACACGAATGTTTGACAAGCACTGTTCTGAGGGATATTATGGATTCTACTGCACATCCCATCAGCGTGGCTTGGGCATCCTCAGGCCCCACCCCCCCAACCGTATTGTATGGAAATTATGCCATCTGAAACCTCTTCACCTTCTTTCTTCAGGGCTGCAAATGCCCTAGGCAGCGTGATCCTTCTCTCTTATTCCACCTAAGTGATTTCCAACACTGAAAGTTCTATGAGGGTGGGGCCGCATCCCGCTCTTTTCTGTATTCTCTGTGTTTACATCCTCTCTGCTTGTATCTATCTAGTGAGCACTTAGAAGTATTTCAGTTGACTTAAAAGGACAATGCTTGGTCTAGCTAGCACTTATTGAGCACTTACTATAAGCCAGATGCTAGCTGACCTGTGATGTGCCTGATCCCACATGATCTTTGCAAGTTCCCTGAAAAGGTAGCTACTATGACCATTTTTCAGATGAGGAAATGGAGGATCACAGAATATAAGGAACTCGTTCAAGGTCACATAGTTAGGGGCAGTGCCTGCACTTGAATTCACAGGGCTACGTGGAAGTGCTAGGAATTGAACTCAGGCTCTTTGAACCCACACAAATCTCTGCCGTCACCACCACCCACCGGTTCTCATCCTCTAAGTGGGCCAGGATCTTCTCCAGCTCCCCCTTGCTTTCCGTGGCCATGTCGCGGAGAGTCTGCTGCCCGAAGGCCGGCTCCCGGTCTGTAATGGGGCTGGAGTGCCGCAGCAGGTACTGGTCCTCGTCTCTACGCAGGCGTGGGGGGAGGAAAGGAAGAGTCCAGGCAGACGTGTGAGGCTTCACTTCCACGTCCATGGAGGCGGGAAAGGCCCCGAAGGCGGGCGTACAAGGAATGGAAGCGCGCAAATGTGGCAGAAGACATGGGGGGTTGGGGGAGAGCGGTACTAGGAGAGGGTTTTCAGGATGCCTGGCCTTCTGGTTTCTTCTTAGAGCTTTCTTGGAAACAATGAACAAACCACTTCCCATCTGAGCTACTCCCCCATCTGGCCCTCCTTCACTTCCCCAACCCAAGAAGGACCATTGCCTGCCTGAGTCCCCAGTCAGGGTCAGATTGATCCCTGTAGCCACCAATTCCTAGGCCCTCGGAGCAGGCCAGGGACCTCCCTAGAGATGAAGGGCCCCTTCTCTGGGCTATAGCACCAGGGAGCCTCTTTGGCCACATTCCAGTCAAGTAGCCCTGGCATTTCCTTGGGATCAGTTGGGCACTAGGCATTTTGAGTGCAAGATGGTAGCTCATTTCTGCAACTTTACATGAGACCACAGCCTTCTTCCCTCAATGCTGAGCATAAGATGGGATTTTGCAACAGGAAGGGACTGGGACAGATGGCAGGGAGGCAGGCAGAACATCACCCATTGGCCAACTCAGGTGATAGCCTGCAGAACTGCTTCTCTTACTAAACACTGTGCCCAGAAAGCAGCCTTCGTCCCTTAGGGCACCCAGGACCCTGACCACCACACTCTGCCTCCCTTGAAGATACACTTCCCAAAAGGGGGCAGAGGGACCCCAAGGAGAGCTATTCCAGGAAAAGAAGCAGCTGTGAAAACTCACATGCTGTCATCTGGGGACAGGCTGTCATTAAAGAAGGAGCAATTTTGACTTTCCATCTCAGCAAGCCTGGGGAGAGAGAGCAGGAACAGAAGGGAACACAGGGTGTGGGGCCTGCTTTCATCTAATCCCATAACAGGAACATCAGCTCTGGGGGCTGCCCCAACCACCCCTAAGTGTTGGGCCTCACTGGCTGCTATGTACCCATAGTGCACATCTCCCCTGGCCATTCTCTTTGCCCCAACTGAAAGCCCCTCCCCCTTAGACTCCACAGTCCCCTTCCCCCCGACCTGATGGTACCTGCTGGCAAAGTGCTCAATGCGGGAGTGTGTGTCAGCATGTGGCAACATCGGGGAAGAAGCCGGCCTAGAAGAAAACAGCAAAGACTCAGGGAACCAAAGTTGGCCAGCTGTGCAGCGTGTTTCTTCACCACCACCATCCTCTTACCCCCACCACCAAATGATGCAGATGGGCAAGAGCTCTCGGGATCCAGTAGAGACTGGAGTCTGATCTATTTTTCAGGTCAGATTCCTGGTCAGGCTCAAGTTAAACTGCCCTGTCACTAGTCAGGTTTTCCCTAGAACATTCCTGTAGCCCACTTGGGAACTCAGCCCCTTCACAAAACTTTCTGGGGCTCAGTGAGGCTGCCCACAGGCCCGTCTCAGCCCCGGTACTCACGTCTCACTGTAGTCGGCCTCCAGCACTGACTGCACAGGTAGATAACCTCGTTGAGGGTGTTTGCTGAAATAATGCTTTGAACGGAATTTGTTCTTTAAAGTTGTGGCAAAGTCCCTCATGTTCTCACTGGATGTGGTCTGGTGGGCGGGGGGGAGACGGCAGAAGAACTCACTCTAATGGCTTCTGGATATTCTGGGGGAGGTGTGGCCACTCCCCTAGAGCAGGGAATCTACTGGTAACCCACTCTTAGGCAAGCCTACCACACCCCATTTCTAGAAAAAGATCTAGACATATATCTGCCAAACTGTGCACACTGGTTGTCTCTGAGAATTTGGTCTGGAGGGGTGGGGGGAGCAGGGGAGGCGGGGAGCTTTCATTTTATACTTTAAAACCTCTGTACAATTTGAATCTTTTACAATGAGCACATATTTGCTAATTTTTAAAATATCTTTTAAATTCTAGGGAGGTAGAAGATGAACAAGAGGTAGAGATTATCCATCTATCACCTCAAGCCAGTTTTTGGCATGAATTTTATAATATTTACTTTTTACACACAAAAAGGGCATGTTTTCTGCTCTCACTGGGTCACAGGTATTTCTGTGCCAACATAATCTGGAGAACAGAGGACAGCTTAGAGAGGAGGATTGTGGGGAAACAGGTTGAAAGATAGGGAGGTTCGACCCTCAGGTCCTCGCAACCGCCCCGTTGGTGATCATGGGATTTGTAGTTCCCAGTGTCATGGGGGTGGGGTCCACAAAGCCTGTATGGAGTTTGCTCAGGACATCCTCTCCCCTTAACAAGGAGAGAGCAGTGGGGGTGGGGGGGTGGCTGGGGCTTTGGGAAAACTGTGGGATAGAGAGGGATAACAAGGTTTGGGGGCAGAATCAGCTCAGAAGATTAAGCCTGGTGCTGTGGGTCTTTAACACAGCAGAGGAGACATTCCATGGCTGCAGATCATGGGTGCTGACCAACCTGGGCTCAGGTGGCTGCAAAGGGCAGTTTCCAATAAAAACCAAGCAGAATTAAGGACCCAGGTAAAGAACATGACTTATTTTTTCAAGAGCCTGAGTAACTCACTTGAGCACAGTCGGGATTGACTCCAAGGGATGGAAACGATAAAGTAGCAGGTGAAGGCCAGGTGACAGGAACAATAAAGTCAGGGACGGCAAACTAAGGTGAGCAACACAAGGCTGGTTGCCTGGGGCTACCTTGTTCTTTCCACCTTTCCCTGAATCTTTTCTCTGCAGGAAACTAGTGTGTGCCTTTTAAATGGCAGGGGCTGCCCTGAGCTGCTAGAGTCAGCTGCATCCTGGGTGAGGGAGGGGTCTGAACACCTCGAACTAGTGAACACCAGGACTGCTTGGAGAATGCACCCCAAAGGAGAGAGCAAACTCCAGTTAGCCAGTGCTTGACAAAGTGGATCAAGGGGCCCCAACCGAGAGCTGCCTACCCTTCCCGCCCAGCCTGGAGACTCCATACCGGGGTGTAATACTCCATGATAGGGTAGTGCAGCTTGTTGCCTTTGCTGGCCCTGCCTGTCAAGAAGCAGGTCTGGCAGATGTCCACGTTAAATTGTTTCAGACTCCGGTACCTTGGAGAGAGAAGTGACAGGAAAGTGGAGCCAATGTACCACAGTGACCGCCCCAACCCTTTAACATTCAAATATATACCCACATTAGAAGACGTCGAGACTTGGAGTCATAACGTGCTCGGTTTCCTACACATCATAGTGCTTGAGTCTTCACTAGGTGACTAACCTCATACTACAGTCCATAAATCTCCATGAGAGCACATGCTCAGATTCCCAGGAAGTAAGGGAAATAATATGGTCTCATCACCTTTTTTAAAAGGGAGGGAGGGGGTGGCACAAGGTGTTAAGAGAGGGATAACAGGGTTAAGTGGCACAAGGGGTTAAGTCTCAGCACTCTGAAGCTGTCCACGGCACCTGAAGCACGAGTTCGATCCCCAGCCAGGGAGCTACCCACATGGCACAGCAGATCTCTCCTGACTCGCCTGCTGCTCCCCTCAGCAGAGTATTTTAGTACATCCGCCTGTTCTGCTCCCCAGTCTGTCTCTGGTGAATCCTCTCACCCTCCTTACTTCTGGCCTGTACCCCAGTTCTTCTACGCAAACGTAAATTTAAAAAAAATAAAAGGGAGGGAGGGGCGGGGTTAAAGAGCTCATTTTACCAAATAGCTTTCTAAACAAGGATGGCTCCAAAGGATGCAGCCTCACAGGTACTACCACCTGCCTTGGAAAAGGTACCCTCTTATGGGAATGCAGCCGATTCTGCTAGCCTTGGGCAAGTTGGCTAAAAGTTATTCCCAACTTTGAATCCATGGAAACTCTCTTGGATGTTAGCCTCTTGTTTGAAGAGCTAAATAGACACATCTCCAAAGAAGATACACAGATGGAAAAAATGTTCATCACTTATCAAGGAAATGCAAATCAAAACCACTGTGAGATACCACCTACAACTCTGAGAATGACCCATATCAAAAAGGTAAGAAACAAGAGTCGGCAAGGGTCTAGTGAACGAGGAACTCTCATATGGTGTTGGCCCAGCTCCTATGGAAAACAATGTGGAGGTTTTGCAAAACATTAAAAGTAGAGCTACAATATGATCCAGCAATTCCACTCCTATGTATCTACTGAAGAATGAATAAACATAAACTCAAAGGGGAAAAAAAGGTATTCCCCAAAGTCTTTTATAATAACAACAACTATTTTATTACTGAATATAAACTAGCCCCTTAGATCTAGTTCTAAAGTCTGGCTGAATTGCCTAGATCTAGTAGTATAGACTGGTGAAATACCTAGACTTAGAGAAGTCAGAGGATCTAAAATCCAGTCCTGGATCTACACTTAACTGGCTATGAGGACAAATCACATTTCTCCTCTGAGCTCACTTGCTTATAAAAAGTGATAGTGTATGTTGGTGCTTTAAAAATTTATCTGTTTATTTTAAAGAATTATTCCTTTATTGTAAGATTTTTATTTTAGCGTAGAACTGGGGTGTAGGCCAGAGGTGCAGGGGGTGAGAGGATTCACCAGAGACAGAGTGGGGAACAGAACAGGAGGATCTACTGAAATACACTGCTGAGGGGAGCAACGGGCAAGATTGGAGGGGTCTGTGGTGCCATGTGGGTCAGCTCCGTGGCCAGGGATCAAACTCAGGCCGCTATGCAGTGGGAGGGGCTTAGAGGTGATAATGCTGAGACTTAACCCCTAGACTACCAGGGAGGGCCCAGTGCTTTAAAAAATTTGAAAAGGTTCCAGTTCAAGATGGTGATGTGGGAAAATCCTGAACTGACCTCCTCCAACGGACACACCAAATGTACAGTTATATATGGAACAACTTTCTCTGAGGAAAAATTTAAAAATAGCTGAGCAACTTCTACACAACAGGCAAATAAGAAAAAGACATCATCTTGCTATAAACCTCACCCCGGCACAGTGACCCACAATTGGAAGGGAACTCAGAACCTGCACTTCTCTCTGAGGAGTGAAGGGTCTAAACCCAACATCAGGCACCCCAACTTTTAAGGCCTGTACTGAGATGAGCCCCCCAAAACATTTAGTCTTGAAAACCAATGGGGTTCAAGTCACAATGAAGATTGGCCCTGCAATAAACAGTGTTGACAATACTGGATGGCCACATGCAAAATAAGGAGACTGGAGCACTGTCTTCCACTACCCAGAAAAAATAAGTCAAAATGGATAAAAGACTTGAATGTAAGACCTAAAATCATAAAACTCCTAGAAGGAAACACAGGCGGTGAACTCTTATACATTGGTCTTGACAATGCTTTTTTGGATCTGAAACCAAAAGCAAAAGCAATAAAACCCAAAATAAACAAGTGGGAGTACACTGAGCTAAAAAGCTTCCGTACAGCAAAGGACTCCATCAACAAAATGAAAAGGAAACTTACTGAATGGAAAAAAAAAATGTGTGATCATATATCTGCTAAGGGGTTAATACCTAAAAAATGTAAAGAATTCATACAACTCAGTAGAAAAAAATTATACAATCCAATTAACAAATGGGCAGATGATCTGAATAGACATTACTCCAAAGATGCCATACAGATGAACAATAGTACATGAAAAGATGCTTTGCATCACGAATCATCAGGGAAATGCAAGTCAAAACCACAATGAGGGCCTCCCTGGTGGCACAAGGGGTTAAAACGCAACCTATGAAGCTGTCCACAGCCACTGCAGCATGAGTTTGACCCCCGGCCAGGGAGCTACCCACATGGCACAGCAGACCTCTCCTAACTCGCCCGCTGCTCCCCTCAGCAGTGCATTTCAGTCAGTCTGCCTGTTCTGTTCCCCACTCTGTCTCTGGTGAATCCTCTCACCCCCCACACCTCTGGCCTGTACCCCAGTTCTTGTGTGCATAAATAAATAAATCTCAAAAAAAAACCCACAATGAGATAGCACCTAATATCTGTGAGAATGGCTATTATCAAAAAGACAAGAAAAAACAAGTATTGATGAGGATATAGAGAAAAGGGAACCCCTGTGATCTATTGATGGGAATGTAAATTAGTGCAACCACTATGGAAACACTATGTAGCTTCCTCAAAAAAATTGAAAATAAAACTATGACACGATCCAGCAATTCCATTTATGGGTATCTCTCAAAAGAACAAAAAACATTATCTTGAAAAGGCATATGTATACCCAGGTTCACTGTAGCATTCTTTTTTTTTTTTTTTTAAAGATTTATTTATTTATTTATTTATTTATTTATTTATTTATTTATACAAGAACCAGGGTACAGGCCAGATTCACAGGAGGGTGAGAGGATTCACCAGAGACAGAATGGGAAACAGAACAGGCAGACTGACTGAAAAACACTGCTGAGGGGAGCAGTGGGCGAGTCAGGAGAGGTCTGCTGCGCCATGTGGGACCCTCGCCGGCCGGGATCGAACTGGCGCTGCAGAGGCTGCGGACAGCTTCACAGCGCGGAGCTCAACTGCCTGTGCCACCAGGGGAGGCCCACACTGTAGCACTCTTTACCAAAGCCAAGCTATAGATATAATTTAAGTGTCCGTTGATGGATAAGTGGACAAAGAAAATGTGACATATAAATATATAAAATATTAATCAGCAATAAAAAAGAAAACCCTATCATTTGCAACAATATGGATGGCCCTTGAAGGCATCATATGAAGTGAAATAAGTTAGACAGAGAAGTGATTTCACTTATATGTGGAATCTTAAAAAAAAAAAACCCAAAACCTGAGCTCATAGAGGAAAGATTGGTGGTTGCCAGCAGTGAGGGTTGTAGGACAGGCAACACGTCTTAAAGCGTCAAAAAGCACAAACATTTTTTATAAATTAAGTCCTGTAATGTATAATGTGGTGGCTATAGTTAATAACACTGTATGGCATGCATATTTGAAAGTTGCTAACAGAATAAATCTTGAAAGTTCTTCTTACAAGAAAAGAAATGTAGTTATGTATGGTGACAGAAGATAACCGGACTAATTGTGATCACTTTGCAATATACACAAATATCAAAACATTGTGTTGTACACCTGAAACTAACTGACTGTTAACACCTGGCTTAAATTCTCAACTTTAAAAAGTTAACATCATTTTATGATGAAAACAAAATTCAGGGTGGTGGTTAACTTTGAGGGGGGGAGGAGGGGAATGTGGGATATTGGAACACTGCTTTGTTTCTTAACTTTGGTAGTGGCTGCACTCCATGGTATGCTGGAGCTGGCTCACATCATGTCACAAGAGCCAGTTGTTAAAATTTCAGGGATATTCCAGAAGTTGTTAAATCCAGTCTTTATTTGATTAAATTTAAAGGGATTTAATTTTATAAAAATTGAATTATATAAACAACTGTGTAATTATGTAAATAATACTCAAACCAAAATAATAACTATTCAAAACTCATATTTTCCTAATTATTTTACTATCGTCTATGCTCATGAGGTTTTCTACATCGATTGTTCCCACAGGGCAGAAATATTATAAATGGTACACAACCACGCATCTCTTCTGATCTCCTTGGGTAGCCTGACATCAGCCGTGGTGGGAATATTTATATCATGGAAATTATCAAATATAACAAATCAGGTTTTGCAGTCAGTTGTGAACCATCTGCCAGCACACCATTTGGGGCCTAGGTGTCCTCATATGCCAGGAGGCTGGGCTTCTGGGTTTTACTTAACACTGCAAAACAATGAGTAAATTACTCCTCACCCCACCCCTTTGCTTCTCTCTACATTTTTTAAGTCTCAAGTAGTTCATAATACCAGTAAAACCAAAGAAAATACTTCATCTCCAATTTTTTAAATAGTCAAAAATTCTGGGAGGAAATGATTACAATATATAACATCAAACAATAAAGCAGCAGTGACTATATAACTACGTAAGGCATTGATTTCTAATATATGACCTATATCTATTGTTTTCTAATATATGACCTATAGGATAATAATATCACTATTACCATAATATCATCATCGTCAATTCAGTGGGTATAGCTTGCCCTACCTGAAGCCCTTGATGGGGCACTGTCTGCAGATAGAGCACTTGGTCTGATGCTTCACTTGCTCGGCAATGGTGACCCGATGTAGGACAGCCAGCCACACCATGGACTGGGGCTCTAAGTTCACCCACTCCAGGAACTGTGATGCTTCAATGAGTGGCTTCCCAGTGCTCTAGGGAAACAAGAAGCCCGAAGTGAGGCCCAAAGTGTCTGTCTCTGTAACGGTTGCCCTCAGTGGAAGAGGAGAACCAGCAAGGCCTGATGTCTACCTTCTACTTTGTCCTAGTTGAGCTGGCACCCTCCCCAGAAGGACTCTGGTCCCAAGAGTCCAGGGAACCCTCTGCTTGGTGTTCCATCCCCACAAACTCCCTTACATCTAAGTAATTCATGTCAAAAGCCTAGCTTAGGGCCTCCCCTGGTGGTGCAGCGGTTGAGCGCTGGGCTGCAAAGCTGCCCGCAGCCTCCGCAGCACTGGTTCAATCCCCGGCCTCCAGCGAGGGTCCCACATGGCGCGAAAGACCTCTCCTGTCTCGCCCGCTGCTCCCCACAGCAGCGTGTTTCGTCAGTCTGCCTGTTCTGTTCCCCGCTCTGTCTCTGGTGAATCCTCTTACTCCCCCCGCACCTCTAGCCTATACCCCAGTTCTTGTATGCATAAATAAATAAATCTTAAAAAAAAAAAAAAGCCTAGCTTAGTCCTCCCTCCCTTCTTTCCCACCCTCCCTCCTTTCCCACCCTCCCTCTCCACATCTCTCCCCAGTTCCATACTCACAAAGCGGAAGCAACTACGGACACTAGGCTCCACATTGCTGCCCCCAAAGGCTGCCACTTCCCCCAGTTGACGGGGCACCTGAATGGCCTCATGAAGCAGGACACCAAGATGGCGTTGGTCACACTGGCTGCCTGAGTTGGCCACTTGGCTGAAGAGGTCTGCTGGCCCCATCATAAGTCATGGCCAACCCCGATGCAGCAATGGCCAAAGAATGGTGCAAGGAGAAAGAGCAGAAAAGGAAGACAGGGAAAGAGAGCACATAGACTTAGCTAATGGCTTTTGAAACTGGAATACCTAGAGCTTCATCCCTGAACTTCTAGAAGCCCAGGGGTTCTAAAAAGAGCATTCTCTGAGTTCAGAGAGAAAAAGTGAGACAGACACAAAGAGAGTGCTCATTGGTACAAGAGGGAGAGATGAAGACAAGAGCAAGCTGCGTGGCAGCAGTGCCAGACATAGGTATGACACTGCTAGGAAAACAGATTCTCAAGAAGCAAGATGAGGGAGTGTGCGGCTCAGGGGTATTTGTGCGTGTGTTTCAATCACTCTGTCCTCTCTCCTCCTGCTCACATACCTCACGTAGTCTGATAGTGCAGCATTTCAATTACCCACACAAATTTGGAGAATCATTGGCATGGGCAATCCAAAAAGTGGAGACAATTGAAAGCATCTGATCATCTGAGAATTATCTCTAAGCAATTGTGGACTAGACTATGGTACTTACACTCGAATGTGGGCTATATCTGCCCTTGTGAGAACACCCTGCCCCACCCCAACCTCCAAAAACCTCCTCCAGAGGCTCGTGTCAGTCTGCTTCATACCTGATGTAAGGCTTAGAAAATATGCAGAAGTTGAAGGCAGAGGTGTGTTAGTTCTGAATCCATTACTGACTAGCTTGGAGAACCTTGGGTGAGTCATACACCTCTGAACTGAGGACACATAATCATCCTCCATCCTGTCTCAAAGGAATGTTGGAAGAAATTGATAATATCATAGCTATGAACATGCTCTGAAGTCTCCTTCCCTGCAAAGTTTTCATCTTTCTCCTATGATCTGCTATAGCACACACCCTTTGTCATTCAGGTGATTCTAAATGGACCTTCGAAAATGCTCTTTGTGTATTTCTGTCTCCTCCTCTGGACCATGAACCACTGGAGGCAGGGACCATGTCTAATTGAACCTACTACTCAGGATATTTAGCACAGTGGTCAACACACATTAAGTACTTAACAATCAATGATACTGCTGCCGAAAAGTACAACATGCTGGACAAGAGATGGAGGGTGGAGGGTAAAGCAGAGATACTCTAAATAAGAGTGGTTAAAACCTACAGAATTACACTGTGTCCACCTCCCAGGCAACAGATTATTGTACCTTGCCCGCGTAATCATATGGGAATTCTCCAGCACAATAGGTGACATGGTTTGAGCTTCAGACTGGGAAAAGGCTAAGCCTGGTAGGCCATGGGAGTGGAACTAGAAGATCTGGGCTTTCGGTGTGCTAGGACGCCAGCTCAGATCCTGGCCAAGTGCTTACATCAGATCAGAAGAAATCACCCCCCTGGAGTGAGACTGGGAATAGTGATAGGCCTTAAGCACATCTTGACCACCTCTGGTGGGTTCTTTGTGATAACCTGGACTAGGAAGCATTACAAGGTAACCCAAATAGCCCTCTGCTGAGTTATAAGAATCACCTCTGCTTATAACACACTTAGCCTCCCCAGCTCATCTCTCCCTCCACCCAGCTCCCCTCTAGGCTTTGGAGTTGTACTCACACTGTAGTTTTTCCTTCACTTCTGTGCCACACAGGCATGCAATGCCAGTCTTAAAGGACAATGCCCGCATCTTTCCACTGCGACCACTAGGTTGAAAGAGGAGACTGAGAGCATGATTATATGTAAAGGGTTAACATCTTGACAGACATGTCCCTTACACACTTGATCCCAGAAGACCTCTGTGTCATCCATGCCCCAAGTTGAACAGAAGCCCAAGTCTCCGTGGGAGCCCTCCCTTCCCGCCACACCCACTCTGGATGTCCCCGTGCATTTCCTCTTGGAGGGTACCAGGGCTGCCAGCTGCAAGCCCTTACCTATCAAACACATTGAGGAGCCAGTTGAGGCTCATGTCCACGCAGAGGGGCACGTTGACCAGGATGCCTCTTTCCTCCTCCAGCCGTTCATACAAGGCAGTCAGGCAGTGAATGACCTCTACCACATCCATCACATGCTCACTGGTCTGCAGATCATGCTCATTGAAGATCTCCAGGGCTGTGGTTAAAGTTACCAAATCCACTGGGAAGGAAAAGGGAGAGGGAGAAAATAAAGCCATAAGTATAACCCCAAATACTAGACAAAGAGGCAAGGACACCAGTGTCACCAAAATTGACTCAATCTCCAGGCCCATCATTTGTTAGCTTGATATAAGCTTGTCCTTTACTAAAATCCTCATCCCAAGGCGAGGGAAGGCAGCAAAATATCCCCTGAACTGACCCAAATGTTTCTATACCCATAAACTCTTTGTCATCAGTTTTGGGAAGATGGCAGGATGCGAGTGACTCACCTTCTTTGGTACATTAGTTCCTAAGGAATCAATTCTCAATTTAAGTTTCTCTGTCTTTGCACACATGAACCTTGGTCTGAGAAACTGAACACCAGTTATGAAAGCTTAGGTGTGCCTGGGTAAATATGACACATCTCAGGAGAGCTGTTTAATTACCCCCAATGCTGGAATCAGCCCAGCCTGACACGCCTGGGCCAGGAAGATAAATGGACAGTATCTCTGAGAAAGACAAGAAAGAACATGATATCGGTGCTTGTGTCAAGTGTTCTGCTGCTACATCCAACAACTCCAAGATGGCAGGAGAACACAAATCCCTGGAGACTCCAAATCATGGCTGGGAGAATTTCTAGCATAAAATAGTTGCTTGACTATCCATGTTGGGCAGGGAGGAAGGGACAAGGAGGACAGATGTGGGTTAATTTGGAAACAAGTCTGGAAAGAGCAAATGTCCACAGGCAGCACAGTCCCCAGCCTCTGGGGAGTTTCCGTGAAGCCAACAATCAATCCTAGCCTAGGGGGAATGAAAGTGGGAAACAGCTGATTGATGAGGAAAAGTAGGAGAGGGTTGAAGGCCCTAAGGGGAGTGGGATGAGAGACTTACAGCGCAGTGCCTTCTGCACCCTGCGTAGCTTCATGGCAGTGCGGTAAGCTGAGAATTTAATGTTGTTCAAATCGGCTGCAAAGAATGGAAAGAGACCCACTCAGATCAGGGAAATGCAAGTTAAATCCACAAGATACCATCTTCCACCCATCAAACAGGCAAAAAATAAAAGTCTGACAGTAGCAGTTGTCACACCAAAGATGTAGATGAATGAGACGTGCTGGTAGAAGTGTTAACTGATACAATCATTCCAGAAAACAACTTGCTATTACCTAGTAGAGCTAAGCATTCACATATTGTACAACCCGAGCAGCTATTTATCCTGAAGCAGTCATTTTTTAAAGATTTATTTATTTATGCATACAAGAGCTGGGGTGCAGGCCAGAGATGCGGGGGTGAGAGGATTCACAAGAGACAGAGAGGGGAGCAGAACAGGCAGACTGACTGAAATACACTGCTGAGGGGAGCAGGCAAGACAGGAGAGGTCTGCTGCGCCATGTGGGTCACCTCCCTGGCCGGAGATTGAACTCGTGCTGCAGTGGCTGTGGACAGCTTCATAGTGCTGTGATTTAACCACTTGTGCCACCAGGGAGACCCCCCTGGAGCAGTGATTTTTTAAAACTGTCTTTGATCAGAAATTCATTTTACATCATCGTCCAGTATGCATCCACATTTGTGCTCTTAAATAAATAACTGAATTAGGGCCTCCTGATGGTGCAAGGGGTTAAGCACCACACTATGAAGCAATCTGCAGCCTCTGCAGCACGAGTTTGATCTCCGGCCTGCCAGGGAGAAATCCACATGGTGCAGCAGACCTCTCCTTTCTCACCCTCTGCTCCCCTCAGCAGTGTATTTCAGTCAGTCTGCCTGTTCTGCTCCCCACTCTGTCTCTGGTGGATCCTCTCACCCCCTGCATCTCTGGCCTGTACCCCAGCTCTTGTATGCATAAATAAATAAATCTTAAAAAAAATAAGTAACTGAATTAAATATTGCAGGAAACAATACCTTAGTAAATCTGATACAGTAAAAACAAAATCATTATCAAATATCCCCCTTGTTAAGGCTCTGTCGCACTTTCATATTTCAAAAAACCACTTCTAGTTTTTTGAATGCTTATCCCAACATACTGAGATTATCCCAACATTCTGACCTGTGGACTGAAAACAGGCATACACGCACCAGGATTTATTTATTTATTTATTTATACAAGCACTGGGTACAGTCAGAAGCGCGGGAGGGTGAGAGAATTCACCAGAGCCAGAGCGGGAATAGAACAGGCAGACTGACGAAATACACTGCTGAGGGGAGCAGCGGGTGGCAGAAGACGTCTGTGCGCCATGTGGGACCCTCCTCCGGTGGCCGGGAGCAGCCCCGGATCGAACTGGCACTGCAGAAGCTACGGGCAGCTTCGCAACCCAGCGCTCAACCGCTGCGCCACCGGGGAAACCCCCGGAGCACTCTTCTTATTAGCTCCAAGTTAGGAATGACCCAAATGTTCATAAGCAGTAGAATGGATGAAGAAGGTGTGTTAAATACAATGGAACATTCTATAACAGTGAAGATGAATGAACTATACTCACATGCACCAGCACAGGTAAAAATTGCAACCCAAAGGGGAGAGTTTCTCTTAGTCAAAAATAAGGCACACAAGTGTCATGCTCATCCTGGACACACACTCAGCTTTGACCTTGTCTTTCAAAGACAGAAATGGTTCACATCTACAAGCATAATTCTCTAATGTTATGGTAAAGTGGTCCAGGGAGAATGAAGAGCTTCGAGTTAGACAATGTGCAGAGGATGGCAGGCTGCTGGAGAAAGGACAAGGCACTCACTTGTCCTTCACTCTCCACCCCACCCCCGTTTGTAGAACGGGATTCCCTACTATTCTTAGGGGAAGCCAGCAGCTGTGTAAATCACCACCCTCATCAGGAACCCCGCATTCTTACCTAAGGTTTGATATAACTCAGTCATCTTGGGATGGTCCCAGCATGTGGTCTGAGCCTGGTGGCTACAAACAAAAGCATCATTAGCACCAGGGCCCATGCCACCCCCCACCCTCCCCACCCACATGAGTACACCACAGGTTGGATGCAAGAAGCTGCAGGATCCGAGGGTGAACCAAGAAGTTACCAAAGCATAAGGGTTCACCTTTAACAAAGTAGAATCTTGAGCTCTTGAGATGAGTAGGAGGAAAAACTGGACTGGATGAAGGAGTCCAACAAATAAGGAGTGACAGGGACAGGTAGAGAAAAAGACAGGCGAAGGAAAGGGTGGGCAGGTGACTGACCCGCTTCTGATTCAGGTGCTCACTCACTTGATGTAGTAGGGAACTTTATTGGGTGAAATTGCTCTTTCCCAGGGAACCTGGACAGAGGCTAGCAAGGGAGAAGAGAAAGAGAAGGTGGCCACGAATGCTTTCAGGATGCCAAAGACTCCCCTATTTTATCCTCCCAAAGAGGTGGCCAAGTCCCAAGGGGATGCCTGACTCTCATTGCCAGCCCTTAACATCCGCAAGGGTGGGGCCAAAACTTCTAAGGAGCACACTTCCCCCTTGCCGTTAGGGCAAGGGAAGGACGGAAGCTATCGACACCCGCATGTGCCAGAAGAGTGACAAAGGTACACACAGGAATACTTGGCCTTGGCGCCCTGACAGTCTTCTCCTTGAGCAGGACGCTATTTCTATCCATTCAGCAGCAGGCAGCTGGAGTGCTGCTGTGGATGTGAGGTGGACCCCACTTTCCTCATGGGACTCAAAGCCCTTCCCACAGAAGCTTAGTCAAGCTTAGTCAAGCTTAGTCAAGCTTAGTCCTAGGGAGAGGTACTGCCCATTTCTATGTGGGGATAAACTCTGGAAGAGGCTGCTTTTTTTCTGCCCCAGGTCTTTATCATCCAGATGGTCTGGGAGAGGCCATGTTGCTTAACCAACCTCCTCATGGCAGTGCTTCTGGGTGCAAAAGCCTTCTGTATGCATAGCTGCCTGCCAGCAACCATGACTCCAGTAGTTCTAACCTCTATTAGCATTGCTGGAATTCCTACTGTGTGCCAGAGACTAAGCCAAATGTTTTGTGTTCACATCTAATGTTCAAATCTCTATATTACCACCATCTGCCCAGCTACCTCTCTGGTCTGAGTCAGCGTAATCTTTCACCTGGATTATTACAATACACTTCCCAACAGGTGTCTCTGCTTACAGTTTTGCCACTAACACTCTGACTCTGTTGAAACATAAGTCAGATCATGTCATCCTGCTCAACCCCTCTGAGGGGTCTTCATTCCAAATGAAAGCAGTTCATCCCATACACAGCCTGCTCCTCCCCTTTCCTCCTCTCCTCCGTGTCTGCCTCCTTGCTGTTCCCCAGGCCTGCCTCTGCCTTCAGTTCCTGGAAGTTGCTGTTCCCTCTACTTGGAATGAGCTTCCCTCAGATACCCACATGGTTCACTTCCTCACCTTCTGGAGGTTTCTGAGTTGCCATGCTCTCAGGGAGGACTTTCCTGACCATACTATTCAAAGTTGTCATGTTTTCCCCCATAAATCCAGCGCTCCCTATCCACACTTTCCTTTTTTCATAGCACTTATTACCAATTGACCCTAGATATGTTTTACTTATTTGTTATGATCTGGCTTCCCCTAGTAGAATATAAGCTCTAGAAATCTAAGGACTTCTGTCTGTTTTGTCCACTAAGGTTGCCCCAGTGCCTAGAAGATTGCCTTGCCCACCATAGGCCCTATTGTTGAAAAAAATAGTTATTTACTCCCCATAACCCTATGAGCTAGGTATTTTCTCCTCTTTTTACATATGGGAAAACTGAGGTTCAGAAATGCTAAGCTATTTTTGTCAAGCTTGCACAACTATTGAGGAGTGGTGACTCTGACACAGTAGTCTCTGACTTGAGAGCCTGTCCTTTTAACCACGATGCTATACTGCTTTATCCTTCCTGCTTCTTGGATGCCAAAGTATGCTGGATTTCCACAGGGCCCCCAGAGGACAGCAGCAGGCTCTCTTGGGAGGAAGGTGGTTGAGGTTCTGCTAAGTAAAATTGCTTGTCTCACGTACAGGAAAGGAAGTGCTGTGACCCAGGCCCGAAGTCCCGGTGGGCATCCTGGAGCTGCTTGAGCCTCTCGCCAACTGACACCTATGGAAAGAACAGGAAGTCAATGGACTCTTTCCACATATTTAATATGACATATCCAGGCACCTCCAGTTTCTCTCTACCTGTAGCTGTTTCCACCGGATGTTGATCTGTTCCAAGGCCCGGGAATTCTCCATTGACAAGTGCACATCAGAAATGGCAAGTTGATGGGCCAGATCATTCACCAACTTCACGCCATCTTTTATGGGGGAGAAGTCTTCTTTGAATAGCTGTGGAACCAGGACCCAAGGCCCACAGTGGGCAGAGTGGGAAAGAGGAACCATAAGTCATTCACCTCAACTCCTCCCTGTTTACCCAGATATTTCATTCCAACAGTACAACCTAGGTGCTTGCTTATTGGGGGCAACCAGACTAAGGCATGGTGGACACTGTCCTTATTGGCTTCACTTCTGACTGTTAGAAAACACCGGACAGGGCCTCCCTGGTGGCACAAGGGGTTAAGCACCGCACTATGAAGCAATCCACAGTCTCTGCAGCATGAGTTCAATCCCCCAGCCGGCCAGGGAGCAACCCACATGGCATAGCAGACCTCTCCTGACTCGCCCTCTGCTCCCCTCAGCAGTGTATTTCAGTCAATCTGCCTGTTTTGTTCTCCACTCTGTCTCTGGTGAATCCTCTCACCCCCTGCACCTCTGGCCTGTACCCTAGCTCTTGTATGCATAAATAAATAAATCTTTAAAAAAAAAAAAAAAACACCAGACAGTACAAGGACAGTTCAGCCATCCTCCAGATAAATCCAGCACACAAACTGGGAGAGATTGGTTATAGTCCAGACCAACAACAGAGTCTCAGCAGGGGGAACATTATCAGGGTCTGGGAGTGGGAGGAGAGTGAGACCTCAGGGTATACTGTAGCAAGGTGAGGGGGAGGTCCACATACCTTAAGAGCCTGTATGTGTTCAGGAAGTGAATCAATGAAGAGGTCCCCAATGGGCTCCCAAGTGCCTCGGACTCCCTCAGCCTGGGTCAGGGTGGTGCTTAATTCCTCCATTGCTCCCTGGATCTCCAACAACTGCTCCAGAGTGCGCTCAATATGGCGGTGCTGGTCCACACAGCGGGCTGTCAGCTTCTCCCATAGTTCACTGGCTACAGTTGCCTGCTTCCATACAAAGCGGCTAAGATTCTGGATCCGCTGTCTGGGAGAGGTATCTGCGTGGGCAAGTAAGAAGGCAGGTCAGCTAAACAAGCAGGTGCCAGGCCTCCCCTGGTGGCACAGGCGGTTGAGCACCCCACTGTGAAGCTGTCTGCAGCCTCTGCAGAGCCGGTTGGATCCCTGCCGGCCAGCCAGGGAGCAGCCCACATGGCGCAGCAGACCTCTCCTGTCTCGCCCACTGCTCCCCTCAGCAGTGTATTTCGTCAGTCTGCCTGTTCTGTTCCCCACTCTGTCTCTGGTGAATCCTCTCACCCTCCCGCACATGTGGCCTGTACCCCGGTTCTTGTGTAAAATGAATAAATAAATCTTTAAAAAAAAAAAAAAGAAAGAAACAAGCAGGGGCCACCGCGGGAAAGACAGAGACAAAGATAGTCATTTGTAAAATGTATGTGTGTGCATGCGTGCTCACTTATTTTGTATATATTCATACACAGAAATATATATGCATATATATATCAATATATATCTTCCCATGGTTATGTTCCTTTTGTATATTTTGTATGTGTTTTAGATTGCTTTATTTTGAAATCATTGTAGATTCATATGCACAGCTATAATACAATATCACAACCAGTATATTGACATTGATACAATCCAGCAATTTTGTTTAAAGTTGCTCAGTTTTATGTTACTCACATGTGTATTTAGTTCTACATGATTTATCATACGTGTAGGTTTACAAATCCACCACCAAAGTCAAGAGAGTATATTGTTGTTTTTCATTTATTATATCGTCAGGATTTCCTTTTTTTTTTTTTTTTAAATGGGCAAAGTAAATAGTGAGCAAAATATTTTAAGAGGTGAAGTGAGGCAAATCATCCAGGGTCTTATTCATGCTGGTCTAGAATGTGATCTTTGCATTAGTGTCTGCTGCCCACTTCCATCCAAAGAAGTCAGGCATTTTATGAAGGCCCATCCCTGAAGCGGTTAGTATAACTAGCCCAGATTTTCCATCTAAGCTCCTAACTTGTACGTTTCCTCCTCCTCCCTCAGATCTCTCCTCAGAAGTAGATTCAGAGCCTAAAGCCTCAGGCTAATTTGAATTATCTTGAGCTTGCACTATTGGAGGCCCCGTAAATTGGGTTGGGCAGTAAATTGAGTACTTGTTCTCCTTCTGAGGAGCTCAAGGTAAACTGAGACAGTCAACAGCATTTATGAAAGGCTCAATTAACAGGGTACTTCCAGGCTATCCGTTGCCAGTCTTGGAGGATTGCGGATTCTTTCTGGAGAATATTACTTGTCGGATCACCACACACACCTAATTACCATGGATCCTACCCTGTTGCCATATTTGAACCAGGACCCAAAGTGACCCTCTCTTCTGAGAGAAGGTGCCAGAAGTCACTAGGGCAAGTATCAAAGAGTCACAATTAATTTTCTTCTCAAATGCCTTCAGCTAACATTTTAGATTTTGAAAAGGATTTTTATATGTTGGGATTAAAGCAGTATGTTTTCAAGGGACATACTATTGCTTTTATTCCCTGGGTCAGTTCATGGCACGTGATTCTCGTTTTTCCTTTTCCATGCTCATTAGAAGGGCTACACATGATGAGCCGCATACAGTTTTGAGTCACACACTTAACTCTCCTGTTCCAAGCTCTTTTTTTTTTTTTTTTTTTTGCTTTGTCTTACAGTATGACTCTTGTTCCTCTTAACTTAGGCTACTAAGATAAAACTATCCTCCTAGACAACAGCTGAGAAAACAAGTTTGGGGAGGGCAGGAAAGTATTTAGCAGTTCATAGCTCAAGAAGAAGTGGGGAGAGAGGGAGACCACCCACCTTTGCTCTCAGAACGAGGTTCCTCTAATTCTTCAAATGGGTGCTGGGACAGGAAGGCCTGAGCTGACTCCAGCACGGAGTAGATATAGGGGCCCCGAGACTTGACATCTTCCATAAAGGCCTGTGAAGTTTAACAATGTGGTCAAGAGGGAAGGAAAGTCTTTTAATTGCTTTGAAGTCCATCCTGCAATTGATAACCTTTCTTGTCCCCAGTGCAACTTGATCCTTTAACATTATCTCTTATCTTTGGCAACCCAGGGAAGAAGAGGTGCAGTCCTCCATAGAGGCAGAAGAACCACTCTGACACTGGAAGGTCTGTTAGTCTGTCTACCCCCAGACAGAGTAGAAAGGAATTCAGAGATTTGGGGCTGGGAAGTTTGGTTCTCTGGAAGACTCAAAAAGTTCCCTGGAAGGGGCTTAAAGGAATCAAAACCAGTATGGGAAAGATTTAGATTCAATATTTTATTTATTTATTTTTGAGATAGACACAAACTATACAAATCAATAATATACAGCTCAGTGAATTTCCATAAAGTGATTCCATGTGTGTAATCAATTCTGAAATCAATAAACAGAACACCAGCTTCCCTGAAAGGCCCCTTCATGGCACCCTCTGGTCACTACGTCATCTTTCCTCCCACCCCCCCAGGCAACCACGATCATTAGTTTTGTCTTTTTTTAAATTGTATGTAAATGGATTCATACAATATGGATTCATTTTGTATCTCGCTTTTTTTCACTCAGATTCATCCTTGCTGTGGCATGCCTTTATGGTTTACGTTCTTGCCGTATTGTATTCCACTCTGTATTTATTTTTATTGTGATATAAATGACATATAACCAGTGTCTCAGTTTGAGGTGTACAACATATTGATTTCAGTCATTTACATTGCAATGTGATTGCCACCATAGCACTAGCTAACACTCTGTTAGGTCATATATTTATTATTTCGTCTAGTGCATTTTGCATTCTTTTTTAAATGTTGTTGTTTTTGACTGTCAAGGTAAAACATGTCACAGAAATCTTGGACATAATGATGCACACCTCAAACTTCTACAATGCTATAATACAATTCTATTTTATCAGACAATGAGAAAACACACATGCTCTTATAGACAAAAAAAGAAATCTCAGAAAAGTATAAAGAAAAAAATTACAAATACCCTACTTTCATCACCCCTATAGTTCTTTTTTATGTTTCTACCTGAGTATATATGTACAGGCATCTATATAGATTTTTATACAATTGCATTCACCTGTATATGGTTTAGCATCCTAAGTTATTGGCTGTTGTTTTTTTTTTTTTAACTTAATTTTTTATCATGTTCTTTTTCCCTTGTGTCCATTCAAAATCAGGGCAGGTTTTTAAGGGAAGGCTAATATCTGAGCGGAGAGCTAGAAAGGAAAGATTTACTTTACTCGGTGCAGTGCTAGCCACAGCCCAGTAGGACTGCATCAGTGTGGCATTACTATGGGCGCCTAGGCAGAGCCTGGGTGCCTGTGTGTCTGTTGGAGAGTTGCAGAGAGGCCCTTTCCCGGCTGAGAGGGAACATACATGGCCTCCATAATTGTAACCTACCGCATGTGTCTCCTTCTCCTGTTGCACAAGGGCCACATCTCCTTGTAGGGGCAGCTGAGCTGACAATTCCTCATCCTTTTGGCTGAGCCAGTCAATGATCTCTTGGAGAGGGAGCTGAAGTTTTCCACTGTGGTCAGAGAAGGCCTCTAGGCGAGCACTGCACACAGTGGATAAAAGCAATGATTTTCAAGCTTCTTTTTAAGTGCCAAAACATTGTTTCCAAATACTTATGTGGGATCTTAATATAGGAACCAATTAAGGATGACTTGCTCTAGTGGAAGAAAAGCTACAGAAGCAAGAAAAAAAGCAAGAAAAGCTACAGAAGCTCCCAAAGCACCTCCGCAGGAGCTGGGGATTAACACCTTCTATGGCCACCAGTTAAATCTCTTGTGCCCAATGTCAGGCTGGGAAGAGTAGGACACTGAGCAAGGATATTTGGGGTGACAGTTGTCTTGTTGCCTCCTTGCCCCGGAGGAACTCAAGTTATGCCAAATTTTCCCTCCATAGAGACTTCTCCAAGTCTGCCCTCTGAGCAAGAGTGGATGAGGTCAGAGGAAAGCGCAAGTGGAGTGGGCGTGGGCACGCACTCGTGGGAGGATGCATACCAATATAAGTAGCCCAAGGGTCTCTGAGGAGGATAGCAACATGGGAGAAAGTTCTGCTATATGGAAAGAGAAAAGTATGTACTCTATAATCATCTGTCTACTTCCTCCCCCAAATAAACCATGAGCTGAGGTCCAAGTGGTAGGAACTGGAGGCCAGTCTTGGCTGTGTGCAGCCATGGAGCTGAGAAAGAAAATGTGTTCTTTGCTTCCCTCCCACCTGGGCCAAGCTCTTTACCTAAATTATTGCTCCCATGAATTCCCAGAGCAGTCTTCTAAGTAAGCATGGCCATTGCTCAAGAAAGTTAAGTAATTTGCCCAAGGTCATGTAGCTAAGTCGCTGATAGAACTCAGCATTGTCTGACTCCACAGCCTGCACTCATTTTTCTTCACACTGCCACCAAGGCCCACCAGAAGCCAGGGGTTTGGGTTTTGATGATAGGAAGTGGAGGAGCAAAGAATATCTATGTGAGAATCGATGTATGTGAGGGGCTGGAGGGGCTACAGAGAGGGGCAGGGAGAAGAAGTTACACATAGAGCTGCTTCAGATTCTTACTAATTTGCCTTAGTTCAGGAAGGAAAAGGCGGACTGATAACCAATGGATGGGATCTAAGAGGGCTTGAAAGGACAGGAAAGAGAGCAGATGAGATCTATGAAGATGGGGGACAGAAGAGTAGGAGGGAGAGATCCTATCGGTCATTTACACGCAGGGCTTTTAAGTTCAGGAGCATTTCCATATCTTATCTGAATTCTCACACAGCGCAGCGAGGTGGTTAGGACAGGTATCATTCCTCCACTTAACACAAAACAAATCAAACCACCCAAACAAGTGGAAGTTAAAATTGAGAGGAGAACGACATGCTAAGCAGCAAAAACAGGAGCCGGACACCGACCAAGGCCCCTGTTTCTAGGGGTCAAGCCTTACCGGAGGTTGTGAGACTTCTTTTTTATTTCATTCCAACACAGATTCATGGCTGAAGGTTCCAGGGGTCTGGCGGCACCAATAGACCTGTTGAACAGCTTTGGGCTTAGGCAGGGAACCCCAGCACCATCTTGAGGACGCGTAGGGGCGGCGGCAGCAGCAGCTCTAACCTGGACAGAAACACAGACATCCTGTGACCCCTGGAGCATGCCACATCCGGGTTTGCCACAAACTGAGGGTGAACAAGGGGAGAGAAGGGCTGGCCCAGGGTGTGCTTGGGGGTGAAGGTGAGGGGAGAAAAAGAGAAACTCCATGGAAAACTGTTGATTATAAGACCCTCTCTTGGTCCAGGTTGGTCACATACAACAGTGACTACTATCATTCTTATTATGACTGTAAATTCTGCCAGAGTTACTGCCCAGGTGGGATCCTGGAAGTGCTTAAGTTAGGTAAGAGCTGTTCAGAATTGCCCGACACTGGCTACCACTGCCATATAGTCCAAACATATTTAAGGTGAGCTGTAGGGGCCTATTCCAGGGCTCCACCTTTAGAAAAGAAAGGGCTGCCATGTAAAAAAGGAAAGAAAAGGAAAGGAAAGAGAGACCGTCCCATAAAGAACGCAAGAGAGAATAGACCAGCTGGAGAGAGCTATTAGTACGCAGTGTTCTTCCCAAATGAAGTTGGGTTTTGAATTCTCTTCACCCTCTTTTCCACCCAAATTTCCCACCAGAGTCAAGAAAAGAAGCCTGGAAACAATCCTGTAGAGTACTGCTACTCTTCCATGGGCTGAGGAAAGGGATAAAGCAGCATTTCCACCCCAATCGTCAAAAGACTCTGAACAGAGTCTGTAGCTATGACCAGCCATGGAAACTCCCAAAGTCTCATCTGATTCAGAGCCCATCGCTTGCTTGTTCATCCTGTGGGGAGGACTGCAGGGTTTGAGGAATGGCGGTTGTGCCAATAGCCCTGAAGAAATTAGCTATCTCCCGAACAATGCCAGGACTGCCCAGCCAGGGCAAGCACGGTGGAGGCGGAAATCTCAGCCTGTGCCCTTCCACCTCAGCTGATGGAAACCCACCCTCGGCCTGCTTGTCTACCCACTTGCCTTCTGTGGAAAGAACATGGCACTGCTAGGGACTGAGACTCTTCTAGCGTCCCGGTCCCCCACCCAAGACCCTCCAGGCAATGTGGGACATCAGTCGTCCCATGAAAACCAAAGCTTGCAGCCTCATGCTGAAAGGGAAGTGAGGGAGCAGCCAGGCGCTGAGGAAAAGCTCTGACCTCAGTAACCGGGCGTCACCATGAGCCGACCCTACCTGTACTGCCTGGGGACTCTGTGGCAGGACTGGGCAGCTCCATGGTTATCCCTCAGCACCAATCTGGACCCAGTGCCCGGTAAGCCCCAGGCAGAGTCCTGATAGTCTCTGAGCAGACTCCCTCCGGGACAGCAGTCAGGGCTGAGCCAGGCCAGGAGGCGGGAGCTGTCACCCTGTTTGTTTACTGACTCCCCAGGAATCTGGAGGGGGCGGCTATGTCAGGGCTCAGCCGGTGAATCAGAGCTTTGTCCCTGGGGAATTCTGGCTTGCTCCCAACTGGGCCCGCCACACCGGGGCCAGGAGGGCCCTCCCGGGCTGGCAAGGGTGGCAAGAGTGGGACTGGGCATTCCATGGTGCTGAGGAGGGGCATGCAGAGGGGAGCTTCTTGTTGATTTATTTCCCCTGTACATGGAAGATACAAAGGACTCACTTAGCCTCCAGGCCCGCCCCTCCCTTGAGGTGGAGGAAAGGATCAGACCACTTTGGTGACAAACCTATTGTTATCAATACCCCACCCCACCCCCCACGCCCACCCCCAGCCTGGTAGGAGGATGGACTTGGATGAACAAGCCTTGTCTTCCTCTGGTAAGTGTCCTCAGATGCTGTGAGGAATGTGTGTGGCGCACCTGGGAACAGGGCCATGGGATGGCGGGATAAGGAATGTGGACCACAGAAGATTCATCCAAACTCACTGTGAAAATGAGGGGTGCTCTGCCTTGCTTGTGGGAGGGAGAACGATACGCCCCCACCAAGCTCTTGCTGTCCTCTGAGGCCCGAGGGAAATGGAGCCTGTGGACACCCCTTGGACTTTCGCAGGGAAGGACAGAGCAACATGAAACTAAGCAGTTCCATGAAGGGACCCAGTGCCAGAGAAGCTCCTGTGCCCTGTCGGTACTGCCCCGGGCCACAGACCTGAGGGGCAGGGCCCCTTCTGGAAGTGGCCACTCTTCTGCTCCAGCAGACTTGCCCAGGGAAAGGTTAACATTCCCGAGATGGGCCCCCACCACTCAGCACTGAGCGAAAACACTTCATTTTTACCAGAAAGTGTTCTGTTCCCATCCTCATTTATCTCCCACAGAGTCTTCTGGGCTTTCCACAGTTCCACATTGTTTCCATGCTGAGGCCCACCTACAGGAATAGTTGGAGCAGCTGCCTGACCCCTTCTGGGTCTCTGGGATAGAGCCAGCTGGGGTGGAATGGGGATGGCAGGCCAAGAGCAAGAGCCTGGAGTGGCTCTAGCTCTGGGCCACAGCTTCGCCTATGCTGGGATAATTGGGCTTAAGCCAGTCTCGCAGAGTCCCCGGCACTTGGAATGCCCCCAGTTAGAAATGGCCCCTTGTGACCCAGCCACAGCCAAGTTGTCCTGGTTCTGCGGGAAGCACCCACATTGAGCTGGGCTCCACCAAGCTAGCCTGTCATTCTCTCCAGTCTTCTTACTTTCCTAATCCCCCACAAGGTCCCCTTATTATGTCCCCTGTTCACCCCACTCTTCCTCTCCTAGTTCCCTCTTATACTTACAAGTCTCCCCCAGCAGAGCCAGGCACACACGATAGGCAAATACTGAATATTACTTGTCTTCTGTCTCTATCACTAGTCTTCTACTTTTGGCTTTTGTGGCCCAGGACTCTCATTCCCTTTCCCCACTCCCCACAGGGCTTTCTTCCTATCTCTTGAAACTTTAAGGCAAGTCAAGGCCAAAGATTCCCAGCAGTGGGGGCCAGAGTTCAGGCCTAATGGAGCCTCAGAAGCTTGCTCCACAGCCATCCCTGCAGGTTGTGTTCCTCTCTAGAGGAGCCTGGCTCTCTGGCCTTCCCAGTCCCTCTGGGTGCTACTCTGACACCTGAAAGTGCTCATGGATTTGGAGTCTATTGACATAGAAGTTAATTCCAAAGCTAAGAGTTATGTAACTATCAAGTGGGCATTTTTAGAAGAAATTAGAAGTAGAGTTACAACCAGGGTCACACAAGTAACTAAGAAAGCTCAGAACACCCAAGAACCTGCTCAACTCATCAAATCAGCAAGTGTCAACAACTAGAACCTGCTGCTTCTGTGAAACAGACAGAAGTGTTGGCTCCAGAGGATCCTTCTCCCACACCAGAGCATATCTCCATGAAGAGAACTTCTGCCAAGCTTTCTCTGATGCCTTGCTTGGCAACATTGGGGATATTGATAATGAATATTGGGAGAATCCTCAGCTCTGCTGTGACCATGTTAAAATATTTTGCAACACTTTTGCCCTTTTGGCTGTCTGAGCAGCACCATGGCATTGGCAAAAACAAACACCTTATGAAAGGTGGCAGAAAGAGAGCCAAGAAGAAAGTGGTTGATCCATCTTCTAAGAAAGATTGGTATGATGTCAAAGACCAGCCATGTTCAATATAAGAAATAATGGACAAACACTAGTCACAAGAAGTCAAGGAAACAAGATTGCATCTGATGGCCTGAGGGTTTGTGTTTTTGAAGTGAGCCTTGATGATCTTCAGAATGAAGAAGTTGCATTTAGAAAATCCAAGCTGATCACTGAGGATGTTCAGGGCAAAAACTGCCTGACTAACTTTCATGACATGGGTCTTACCTGTGAGAAAATGTGCTCCATGGTCAAAAAATGGCAGACAGTGATTGGAACTCATGTTGATGTCGAGACAGCTCACAGTTATTTGTTTTAGTTATTCTCCATTGGTTTTACTAAAAAATAATGCAACAATCAGATGCAGAAGACTTCTTATGCTCAGCACCAACAGGTCCACCAAGTCCAGAAAAAGATGATGGAAATTGTGACCTAAAGAATGCAGACGAATGACTTGATAGAGGTGGTCAATAAATTGATTCCAGACAGCATTGGGAAAGACACAGAAACAGGTTGCCAATCTATGTATCCACTCGATGATGTCTCGAAAAGTAAAAATGCTGAAGAAGCCCAGGTTTGAATTGGGAAAATGCATGGAGCTTCATGGTGAAGGCAGTAGATCTGGAAAAGTTACTGGAGATGAGACAGGTTGAATGAGGTGATGGATATGAGTGACCAGTTCAAGAATGTGCTTAAAATTCGGAGTTTTAATGGTGATGATTTGTGATTTTTTTTTTGTGAAAAAGGAAAACTTATCTTCCAGCATCAAAGGCAACTTGAGGTTCTGCAACCCATAAACCCACATTTCTTTTTTTTTTAATTTTTTAAAATTTTATGTATTTTTTACATCATTTTTCATTTTTGCACAATGTATGCATTTTCATCTTGGTTATAGTCCCCATACAATTCCCACCACCCTTGTTTTGATCCTATTCCCTTCTCACCACCATAGCGTGTCTCTGGTTTATAGTTGCTTGTTGATTTTGATTTTTGCTTTATTATAATTAGTCTTTTTCCTGGTCCCTTATTTAGGTTTTCTAGATTCCTGCTATGACTGAGACCATCTGGTATTTTTCCTTTTCTTTCTGGCTTATTTCACTGAGCATGATCCCTTCCAGCTCCATCCATGTTGCTGCAAATTGCATGAGTTTATCTTTTTGATTGCTGAATAATATTCCATGGTGTATGGAAGTGGTACAAATGCATGTACACATGCCATCTTGGTCTACTGGCCGGTCCACTCCCAGTCTAGGCTGCTGTAGAAAACGCTATATGTGGGTGTCACCACAATGGATCCATTTTTACAGGTTCAGTCAGTCTCGAGGAGGAAGCTTCATTGGGGTAGAATTACAGCTCTGCTCTTGGCTTCCAAGTATGAGGAGACATTTTCTCCAAATATTGAAGACTTTGATTACATCAAAGACACTACTTAACCAGCTCCCAAATCCAAGAAATGGAAACTAATAGTGAAACAAATGAAATTTGAGTTGGGTCCACCTTTGCCACTACATCTCTTATGGCAGGCATTGAAAGTCAGAGGTTGATGTCAAGCAGCACACTTTAGCCAAATATTTGATGGAGCTGGCACTCATTGACTGTGATGTAGTACATTATACCTTCTAAGGCAGCAGCAGCTGCTTCCTGCCTGTCCCAGAAGGTTCTAGGCCAAGGAAAATGGAATGTGAAGTAGCAGTATTACCCTGGATGCATAAAGAATGAAGTATTAGGAGTCGTGTAGCACATGGCCAAAAATGTAGTGAAATGAAAACCAGAAAATCCATTGCCATCAAGAACAAAGGCGCAAGCAACAAACCCTTGAAGCTCAGCACAATCCCACAGCTGAGCGTAAAGCCATCCAAGAACTAGTCTGACCTCTGACAGGACAGTCCTAGGATGCTGTGGCCCTCAGGGAGGAGTGCTTTGTCCATGTACTTTGTCTTGCTGATTTGGAACTCCTAACTCTGTATATAGTCCCTTGGTGTATTTCATGAGATCCTTTCTCACATCTGTTATGTAAATATATGTTGAAGAAAAATAAAGCTACTGATTTTTTTAAGGTAAAGAAAGGTCACAATCATAAGAAAAAAAGAGAAGAAACTAGGCAGTGGCAGAGGACTGGGGTTGGTCTCGCCATTCTTAATCACAAAATGAAGCCCTGGGATCCCCCAGCCTAGACGGTAAAGCTCGGAGCGGGTGGACAATGAGCAGGACAAGCCTTTTGGAAGGGCTGAGGTTTCTTGATCCCTTGACCCTATGAAAGTCCCACTCTGGGGAAAGGGTCTGTACCCTGGAGAACTCAAAGTTGACCCTGGCCTTGAGAATGGAGGCAGCCCCTTCTCAGCCAATAAAAAGTTGGAAAAGATTATTTGCTGTTACTAGAATGAATATTGTAATTAAGAACAATAATCTCCAGTCAGATGTGGGAAAATAGCCCAAGAGGATCTGGATTTTGTGCTTCTCTAGACCTTTCCTTTCCCTCATTACTCTCTCTAGAATGGACTCACTAGCACCCATGTATTCCAACCCTATCATTTTCTCCTCCCTTCCTCTTCCCTGTATATTCAGCTGCTGCTTGAACCCCCAGCAGTGCCATCTGTGAGAACCTAAGAGACATTGTACTTTCTCAGCCCCATGCTTTCTGGACCCCAAAACATTGTAAGGTACATCAAATATACCCTCGTCTGGTCAACTACCTGTGGACCTCCCTCGGTTTTAGGAGAGGAAGCTGCCCTCTTGAGATGACTGCCTCTCCCATCCTCCGCCCACCTACCAACATACACAGGAAGGCACACAAACCACAGCCATCCACTCCTAGGGGTGGAGATAGGAGAGAGGCAGGTATGAAACCCAGGGGATTCTTAGTGGGGTTGAGCCTGGAGCTATAAGACTAAGGACTTGAAAGGAAGAACTGATGGAAGATGAGAGATACCTGCAGAATACCAGTTGCACAGTGGAGAAATCAAGGCAAAGGAAGGTTGTGCCTTATCCGAGTGAAAGATCACAATCTTCCAGGACCTGCTCTGGGAGGTTAACACAGAACGACCTCCTCTCAGTCATGGTAGGCCCATTGGCTTGCCCAAATCAACACCCTTCCTTGCACTATGCTGCCTATAAAAGCTTTCGTGAATGGCAGGGATGGGCCAGAAGAAGGTCCCGTGCTACCCAAAGGAGGGTGCTCTTGAGTCTTCAGAAGCATAGACGCCCACAAGAATACACACAGATCCCATGTCCACCCCTTTCTCCACAGGTCTTTCTTTACTATTGGCCTCTTACCTGAGGCTGGGGACCGGTGCTTCGGAAGCTGCTGCTGTGATGGAATTGGTCAGCTGCCCGCCACTCATGACATCGTGGGAGGGTATAAGGGCATCCCTGCATGACCATAGGTTGCATCAGAACCAAGGCTCATGGAGGGCTGAGGATGGGCCGTGCACCGACTTTGAGCATAAGCACCTGGAGGAGAAATTTAGAGTCAAGTCCTATAAAAGACCTATGAACCCAGCACTTACCTAGAGGCACCTTGACTAGTTATATAAATAAATACTCCTATCATGCTGACCTGCCTTATTCTCCCAGGCCACCATGTCCCATAAAAGACTTTAGTTATTGATCAAATGTACTTATCACTTGCCTATTGTGCTTTGTGCTAGAGACACATGAATGATTTGCTGTATCAGATCTCACAGCCAGGGGTGCGGGGAGGGAGAGGAGGAAGAAGAGCAGTTATGCAAGCTGCTAATTATAATAAAATGCTTGTGTGGCAAATACTATCACTGAGATTTAACCAGAAGTCTAGGGGAGCACAGTATGGGGAACAACTACCTCTACCTGAGAGTGTGCAAATATTTCAGAGACTGCACTTAAGATGTGCCTTGAAGGGTGAGTAGATGTTTTCCTGTCCGCGAAGGGGGAAAGGGAGGATGGCATTCCCAGGAGAGACCCACCCATGCAAAGGGGGAATGTCACAAAAAGGCATAGAATGTTCAGAGAGCAGTAAATTCAGTATGGCTAGAGTTTAGGAGGCAGGGAAATGAAAGACAGGTGCCTGCCCCTGAGGAGTGCCTGTACAGAGAACACAGATACATAAAGTGTTATCTGCATTAATGCCAGAAGTATTTAAGGGGTGGAGTGAAGGGACAGATGAGGTGAGGTCTACCTGGTCATGTCAGGAAACGCCTCCCCAGAGGAAGCATATTGTAGGTGAGTCACGAAAGAGAAATCGGACTGCCATTAGGCAGAAAAAAGAAAACAAAAAAGAACATACCAGACAGCACAAAAATAAAATCTATGGTGTGACCAGAGTGCAAGGTAGGTGTCTGGTGGGGAGTAGCAGATCAGGCTGGAAAATGAGCTGTGGCCAGATTGGGTCATTCTTGAATGACAGAGAATTCTAGGCTTTATCTTGTAGACAATAGGAAGATACTGAGGATTTTAAGCAGGGGCGGGGGAGGGGGTGTGTGACAGGACCAGATTTGCATTTTAGAATCCACCTTCTGGAGTTTTTCCTTGGGAAGAACCCTTTGGGAAGCCGTCCTAATAGGCAGAGAGTTGTAGTGTGGATCAGATAGCGAGCACAGCTGTGAGATCATATAAATTGGCTCTGATCCATCAGATGTGAGTTGGAAGGAGGTGAAGGAGTCAAAGGTTTCTAATTTGGGGGCCAGGTAGAAAATGTTGCCAACAGCAAAAGAGGAAAGACAGGAGAAGGACCAAACTGGGTGTGGTTGGAGGCGAGGGCAGTGTTTCCTAATAAGCGACGGAGCTAAGCTTATAAAAGGAAGATGTGAGTGGAAAAGTTGGATGTAGAAACCAATTGATAGTCTGATGAATATACACAAGTGTGATGAGACTGGATGGTAAAGATGATGCTTGCAAATGAGGAAAGTGCTGCATTTCAATGCCGGGCAGGGATGTGCAAATCCTGATCCAAAAAGCAGGAACTGAGCATCTTGGATTTCTGGGGCTGACGATGAAATGGCCACCATTTTTAGTCTCTATTTCAGCGGTTCCCAACATTTTAGGTATGAGGGCCCCTTCTTAAGATTTAAAAAATCTCACTTCGCCCACTCATACCTACAATAGTAGCTGTACTTTTAGTACTTACAGAGTGAGAAAAGACACATTTCAAGATCTGTGGACTCCTTGCATTAAGTACTCTCTTCCTCAGGGGTCCATGGTACAAAGACTGGGGCTGATTACAGATCATGGAGGACAGACACTTCGTCGTAGTGGAAGTTCATAGAGATGACACAGATACTTGGCTCTTCATCCCCAAAGAGACTCCCCAAAGGATGGGTGATAAATGACTCCCTCCTGATCGGACGCCAGCACAAAAGAATTTGCCACTCAGATCAAAAATGAAGTATTGCTATGCACATGTCAGCTTGCTTTCAGACCTCTTTTTGTATCAGCATTTAAATTTTTGTGGATTACGCAAGTAGTGCATATTCTTTATAGAAAAAGTGAAAAACACAAAAACTCACAAAGATGAAAATAAAATGAACTTACAATACTACAACCCAGAGATACCAGGACTAACAGGTGTGAGGTCTTGTCATAGTTTATCAATGAAAAATGTGTACATACACTGTTAAAATAAAACTGTCGTCATATGCCACATACCACCTTTTTCATTTTCTGTTTACATTATGATCATTTTAGATTGCTAACTCTCTCTCTAAACCATGATTTCCAACAGCTACAAAGGTGTTAGAGCACTATATTTGAAGCCACAGGCTTTGGTGTCAGATAACCTTACAGTTGAAACCACACTGTTCAACCTATCAGCAGTGTGGCCTGTGAAAAGTCAGTTACCTCTCCTCACCTCGGCATCCTCATCTGGGGGTGGTCAAGGTGTTGCCCTCACAGAACTATCCTACTGATTATAATTAGTCATGCATTCCAATAGCTTAGCACAGTTTCTGGCATAAGTACACTGCTCATTAAATGCTTCCTGCATCATTGTATTCTCTTGCATTGAATGGATATATCACAATTTTAACAGAAACAAGTCACACTAGAATGAACAACCTCGTGTGTATTTGTGATACTTTCCTTAGGATGATTTCCTAGAAGAGAGGATTCCTGAATCAAAAGGTATGAATCAGTTTCACACTTGTGATATATACCTCTAAAGTGCCCTAGAAAGTAAGTTCTATCACTTGATAGTACCATTTCCCAGCACACTTGCCAACAGTGAGTATTCTAATTTTTAAAATATATTTGCCAATTTTGGGGGGGAAGATGCATCTTGAGGATTAATCTGCATTTCCTTAATTACTGGAGATGCTTAACTCCCCATTTTAGTGGTCATTTGTTAGTTCTTGTTTTTTCCACTTTTGAGGAAATGCTCTGCAGATTAACCTCTTTCCTATCCCTCTGTTGACCTGATACCAGGTGGATGTGTCACAAAAGAAAAATAAGCCCAGGAGTCAGAGAAGTCAAATCTTCTAACTCCAGCATAACTGCTCTTATGCTATTTTCACTGACCTCTGCTATGCCACTAACTATGATGTCAACTATGACTAACTATGACCACAAATTATTTCGCTTCTTTAGATCTTGGATTGCTAACCTGTAATGTTAACATTTAAGAATCACCACACACAGATGGTACACGGGTGCATTGGTGAAGGAAATTCTATGGAGACTACACCTGAGGGGGGAGGGGAGTAAAGCAAACGTTGTTTAAAAATGAACCATGTAAAAAATATATAAATAAAAAGAAAATAAAAAAAAAAGACTCGCCACACACAAACTGCTAGCACTCCCTGGGTCTGTATATCATGCTTTTGAAGCCCACTGTACTTTATTTCTTGCTCCTCAGCACAATTGGTGAGGTTGGCCCAGGCAGATTTATGAACCCATTTAACAGGCAAAGCAGCTGAGACAAGGGAACCTGGGTCTCCTGATGCCTGGTCAGTGTTCTTTGTTCTATACAAAGGTTCCACTTTTTGCCTCTCTATTTTATGTCCATCCTGTCCCAAATTACTACCCACACACACTGATTCTCTTTCCTATTGCTCCTTTTAATTTGCAGAGGCTGTAAAAAGTTGGAGATGAATCTGATTTGGTCACCAAATGATCACATGTAGGAAATAAGGCATATAAACTCTAAATGCACGACTTAAGGAAAAAAAATGATTCCTACCTTATATGGGACATGGAAATCACGCTAGGAGAGGTAAAAGGAAGAAGCGTTTACTTCAAGTTTGAGGGATGTAAGATGTATGTATGGAAGAGATGTTTCTGAGCTAAGGAGAAAGAGAAGATTTGCACACACGGAGTAGCATGGAGGATGCTTTTGGGGGTGGAATTAACTCTTCTGTGCTCTCCTCTAGAGATCCCTCTAGAGATCCCTCTAGATATCCATTTGTGGCTTTTGCCACTCAAAATATCCTTTTCCTGTTTTTTTTTAAAGATTTATTTATTTATTTATGCATACAAGAACTGGGGTACAGGCCAGAGGTGCAGGAGGTGAGAGGATTCACCAGAGACAGAGTGGGGAACAGAACAGGCAGACTGACTGAAATACACTGCTGAGGGGAGCAGTGGGCAAGGCAGGAGAGGTCTGCTGCGCCATGTGGGTAGCTCCCTGGCCAGCCTGGGATCCAACTCATGCTGCAGAGGCTATGGATAGCCTCACAGTGCTGTGGTTAACCCTTTGCGCCACCAGGGAGGCCCCTCCTGGTTCTTTTTTTTTTATTTATTTTCAGTTAAGGTAATATCTGGATACCCCCATTAAGTATTACCACCGTAGTGCAGCCACTACCAAACTGTTCATAGTCCACTCTGCTTCCTTCTGTCTTTGTCCTTATCTTTCCCTCTTGGTGCTTCAGTTCTGTAGTCAGCAATCAAGGGTTAGTTTTTAAGCTTGTTTTTATCTGACTCTTAATTTAGTTACTTTATATTCCACACACAAGTGACACCATTTGGTATTTGTCTTTCTCCTGATCTCTTTTGCTTAGCATAATCCCCTCCAGTTCCATCCATATTTTTGCAAAAGGCATGTGTTTAACTTTTTTATAGCTAAGTAGTCTTCCATTGTGTATACACACCTCATCTTCTTGATCCACTTACCTGTTTTGGGGAACTTAGGCTGTTTCCATAGTTTAGTATAGTAAATAGTGCTGCAATAAGCATGGGAATGCAAGTTTCCTTTCGAATTAATGTCTTTGAATTTTGGGGGTAGATGCCTAGCTGTGGGATTTACTGAGTCGAATGGCAGATCCATTTTTAATGTTTTGAGACACCTCCATACTGATTTCCATAAGGGCTGGGCCAGTTTTCCTGGCTCTCAGAGTCACACACAGACCTTTCCAGGAGGCTTTAGGGGGAGACAGTTTCTCCAGGGCATAGGTCAAAACTTTCAAAACACGAGAAATACCACGATTCCAAACTGAAAAGCAAGACTGTTGGCTTCTGGACGTCAAAATCCCTGCTCAATATTTATT